TATTGGGTTGCCATATTGGATCCGCCATTTTGAATTTTGAAAAACCGACCTCAGATTCGTAATCAGAGACCCCAAAAACCCCTGAGCAACGAGTTTCATGTAAATCTGATAAATTTTAAGTTTTCATGGTCGCCATTTTGGGTCCGCCATTTTGTTTTTTTGAAATCTGACTTCAAATTTGGATTCAGCGTCCCCAAAAACCCCCGAGTAACAAATTTCAGGCGAATCAAATTAAATTTAGTATTATTTTTTTGCGATGGCCATATATGGCCACTTGCACAAAGGTGGCACGACTTTTTCTGGCCACATATGGGCCCTGGACTGTCAAGGGGTTAATGTCAGAAAATAAATGAAAATTAAAGTAATATATTTATACATATTAATTCGAAAAACATATAAATTTTTAATGAGTTTACTATAAAAAGCTTTTAATAATTTTATTGTTATATAAATAATAAGCAAAATTGTTGTTGATTTATAAAAAATTTTACAATAAATTCCAAATAATAGAGCATTTATTTTCTGTTTAAAAAATTATTTTGAAATATTTTTTTAAAAAAACTTGACAATGCACGTTTGCCAGCTTTAATATAGTGAGAATTATGCTATGACTTACATTGTAAATAAGTTAAACACTTGATTTAAAAAAAAAAATTATTCCGTCAAGACGGCAGTAGTTTAAAAAAAACAATGCACAAGTAAAAAAAAAACTTAAACGTAAAAATTTAAAAAATTAAAATACAAATAATTTATTGTATAATGGATAGATATATTCGCTTTATAAAGAAATTGTGAGAAATTCCTTAATTTTATTAATGATTCTTTGTTCAGGAACTTTCATAAATTATATAATAAATTTTTAATGATAACTCTTTTTTTCATTAAATTAATAATTTTAATTTGAAAGATAATTTAATAAAACATTCTTTTGATAATAATCGTAAAATAATTTCACAATATTAATTATAAAGCTCTCTAAAATTAATTTCTCATTTTAAGCTTGGAGATATAGAAGAAGATTAGAGAAAATGATAATGTATATATCTTGAGTCAGTCTACTTTACGGGCTAATTAAGAGAAATGAAGATGTCACAATCTGCAACTAATTTAAATTTCAATTCATATATGTATAATAACAGTAAAAAATGGAAATTTCGTCTAATGATATCAAATATTTTAATATGAGTGATTATTAATTTTATAATTATATTTATTTGAAACATAAATATAGTTTTCTTAAAACAAAATTATTATCATATATAAGTATTCTACTAAAAGGCAATCAACAATCTAATTTAAATAACTATAAAGCCAACTCAACAAAATTAAAAACAGATCCAACGATTTAAATTTAGAAGGAAGTTATGTTCAACTTAATTTTCTTATTTAATTCTGCAAATTTCTTCATTTTAATATAAGTTTTCATTTAATAGTCATTTAGTTTCAATAATTTTTAAATTTAGCGCCATTATCTGTAGTTTTGTATTACGTGGTTGGCACTACTTGAACTTATCAATTCGCAAGTATTCTAACCTAAAAATTTTACTATTTTTAGTATTATTCTTATCATCATTCAACTTTTCGCCTTCTTCCAAATGAATGGAAATATAAAAACCAATAACAACGCGATAAAAGGATCAGTAATCGAAAAATAATACTAATAAATAATGTAGAAAATCCCATATTATTATCAAAACTCTTTTATATTTTTCCCTTTAGCTTCTTAATTTAATTTTAAATAGAATTATACAGGGTGTCAACTAATTTTTTTTAAATGGAACCACCTACTTTTTATGCCGGAAATCGATAAAGCAGGAAATTCCACGTCGAAATCGTTGATGCACTTTTTTTCGATAGATCGACCTATTTAGGACAAATAGGTCATTTAATAATTATTGTATTTGGGGAAATAACTTGAAACTAATTAATTTTACAAAAACATGTTTCAGGCAAAAGTTGTTGTGCTTAAAGGGGAATATTCAGTGATGACCTTAAATTTGTCCTAAATGACCTGAATTAGGTCATTTCAATTTCAACTAATTTTTTTTAATGGAACCATCTACTTTTCATGTTACAAATCGGAAGAGCAGGAAATTCCACGTTGAAATCATCCAAGTACTTTTTTCGACAGGTCAACCTATTCAGGTCAAATTGGTCATAATTAATTTCACCTTCAAGGCCTTGTTTAGATCTAGTCTATGTCAAATAATTTTCCATGAAAAAAGATCAAGTTTTTATGGAAGGAATCGTCAGGGCAAGAATTTTTATGTCAAAAACACTAGACCCAACCAAGGCCTTGTAGGTGAAATTGATTATGACCTATTTAACCTTATAGGTCGACCCGTAGAAAAAAGTACTTAGACGATTTCAACGTGGAATTTCCTGCTCTTCCGATTTGTAACATGAAAAGTAAATGGTTCCATTAAAAAAAATGAGTTGAAATTGAAATGACCTAATTCAGGTCATTTAGGACAAATTTATGGTCATCACTGAATATTCCCCTTTAAGCACAACAACTTTAAACTGAAACATGTCTTTGTAAAATTAATTAGTTTAAAGTTATTTCCCCAAATGCAATAATAATTAAATGACCTATTTGTCCTAAATAGGTCAATATATCGAAAAAAAGTGCATCAACGATTTCGACGTGGAATTTCCTGCTTTATCGATTTCCGGCATAAAAAGTAGGTGGTTCCATTCAAAAAAAAATGAGTTGACCTTGAAATGACCTAAATTAGGTCATTTAGGACAAATTCAAGTTTACCACTGGATGTCCCCTTGTGAGCACAATAACTTTTGTCCAAAACATTTTTTTGTAAAATCAACTGATTAAAAGTTATTTCGCCTGATAGATTAAAATGGGACACCCTGTATAATACTTAATTATGAAAAAAATTCAAAATACAAAAAGCTTATAAATAAGTCAATAGCGTTATGTAAATGACGCCAAAATTTATATAGTTCAAACATATTACATGTTTAAAAGAAAATACTTCTTCTGTGTCATATGAAATTTTATGTATACATAAAAGAGTAAAGATATTTTACTTGTACCTTTTTTTTCTATAAAGATCTTGCACGTATATATTGCTTGATAAAATGCTCTGAATTTTGTCAAGCATATATAAACAGATCAACGAAATATCAAGCTTCTTATATTCAACAGTGCATGCAATCTTTCAAAAAGTCAGGAAAAAACATTTAAGTATTCATGTTATAATTTTTATATTTCAACATTTAATAATATTTTCAATGAGAAGAATCAATCATTTCTTGAAGTCAAAATTACACCAATATATATATATATATAATGATTAATTATTTTTTTTAAATTATACAAAAATAAAACGATTTTAAATTTACATAAAAGCTTTATTTGCTGCTTTACAAACAATTTTGTCTTGATTTTTTAATAAATGCCTCATTTTTGTGTCAGAAAATTGAAAATAAAACAATTTGTAATTTTACATGAGGTACAAAATATAAACTCAAAAAGTAACATCTATTTATTTGAATTTCCCATAATAATCAATTAAATAATAATTAGAATTTTAATTTTAATTAAAGAATTTTATTAGATAGGTATAATTATTTTTTAGACGAATTTTCATTTTTTGAATTAGTATTTGACGAATTTAACATAACATAATATTTATAGGTCCCGAATTTTTATTTGACAGAATTTCTTTTTATCCAACTTTTTATTTGAAAAATTCCAATTTAATCGAATATTAATTGAACAGAATTCTTATTCAACAGAATTTTATGTGATCTGAATTTTAAAATACCAGAATTTTCAATTCAACGAATCTTAGGTAATTTGTCCCAATTTGAAATTCTAGCATTTAAAAATTCGAATCACTTAAAATTTTGTAAAATAAATATTTGAATTTTCGTTAGAAAAAAAAAAAATTACGATTTTCGTACAATAGCTCCGGTTGACGGTATATGTGCTGTGTCAATTTTAATTATATTTTAAATATTCTAGTCTTTGTAAGGTGACAAAGTTGTCCACAAAACGCATGTATTAACTGTCAATATCAATATATATGTTAAATACCCCCTGACGTCAGACCCATTTCTCGTATACAGTAGATTTTAATTTTATTAAGACCAATAATTCTGACGAACCTTCTCTCACCTTACATAAATCAATCTCTCCAATATAATGCCTGTTAAAGTCATGAAATTAAATTTCCTTTTCATCTCAATATATTCCGATATAAACCGTTAACTACGTTTATACACGTATATTGTTTCAACTTTAGATCTAAATGTCTCACCGAATAATTCTATTTCTCCTAATCCTGTTCTAAATACGAAACTGTCTAAGTCGTAACTTTAATGACTTATTATACGTATAGAATATTGTAATACAATTTAGCGGCCGCCTCCTTTAAAATGTTCTTTTTAAAAACAGTTTTTTCCAATTTTTTAAAATTGCTTCTCAGTTGTTTTAATCGATAGTAGTTCAAATCGCTGTCAGGTTGTTATTATTATCGTTGACTTTTTTTGTAACTAGACAAAATTTCCATTTATAAAGGTGTTGTAATTTATAATATATATTTTAGATGATAATGTATCATTTCAAAATTTGCTAATTCGAATAGAAAACAGAAAACTAATTTACGAATGTACCTGAAAGGAAGAGATAATATGAAACATATAAAATTTTAGAATATAATGTCGCACCAAGCGAGTTATATGATATTGAAATGTATTTCTTTTTTTTTTTTTATATAAAAACAAAATAATTAATAAAACAATTTCTTTAATCATAAAAGTAATATATAACTTAGAATTGAAACATATTATATTTAAAATTAGCAAATTATAAAATAAAATTTTATAAACTAATTTAAATTATAATAATTGACACGATAATAAGATATTCTATAATTATATAGTTTAGCTTCTTTATATGCACAAATTTTGCTCTTTTGAAATCGTGTCTTTTAACGGCACTACACGATCACGAAAATTACTCCCCGTGAATGTAGGCATGCGACGAGGTACCGTAGCGTTTAGCAGTCAACCGGATCTCCCGGATGGTGGTCCCAGGAGAAGCTTGGTCGACATTTACAAGCTTCACCAACGCAGAGAAACAGAGGGACCAACTCGTCTAGGGGTCTTTCAACGCCTAATCAGTCTCTTTGGCAGTCGACCATCAAGCAGAAAAGCTTCAACTGCATCCTTTACTGGTAATAAGAATTTTCCCATTTTACATTTTTATTCTATATATATAGGTACACTGAAAAAAAATTTATTTCATTCAAATAATTGACTATTGTCAAATAAATATTTACTTGAACAAAACAATTTTTATTTCAATTAAATAAACTGTATTTCAGTGTATATAATCGATAAATACAATAATTATTATTCTTTTTACACAACTAATTTGTACACTGAAAAAAATTTGCTTCACATTAATGACTATTAACCATAGTAACTTTAAATCTAGTCAGCGTAACCAAGCATCCTACACTGTAAAAAATTTCGGAATTTTTTCCAATAAAATAGTAGGATATTTTTCCGAAAGTAGGTGGAAAATACAGTTTTCCGAATAGGAAATATATCCGAAAAAAGGAGGAAAAATACTAATTCCACAGAAAAACGGAAATTCATCTAGAATATTTGGAAAAATTTCCGAAAATGATGGATTTTTTTCAATATAAGTAGGAAGTACTTCCTATAATATTTGGAGAAATGCTTTTCCCCATAAAATGTGAAATTATTTCTATTCTTTATATTTTTTAAGTGTTAATAATTTTCTGGAAAAGAAGGAAACATTATTTTTCTGCTGCACAAAAAATTATTTTTCGATTTGAAAGGTTTGTCACATCTGGTTTGTCTTAGGATGACCAGCTACAAGGGTTTTATTAAGATTATTATTAAAAATTTTATAGAAAAATTTAAGAAAATACAAAAATTGAAGAAATTGAAAGAAAAATAAATATAATTTTAGGAATTCCAATTAAAAGAATTTTAAAAAAAAATAAAAAAAACATTAGAATTTTATAAAAAAAAAATGAAGAAAAATCAAATTTAAGGAAATATTTATATAGTGTGTAAAAAGGGAAAATCGCGAATTTTATAAATTTTCAGAATAAAAGGAGAAATTGCATCATGAAACACTTATATACATATTCAAGATTAATAGAAGGATTACAACTAAAATAGGGATCAATTTTATAATTATTGGTAAAATATAAACTTTATATACATCAATTGATTCATTTTTATTCCAGGAATACAATTTTGACAAGAATTAATTGAAATTTCTATATAAAAAAAAGTGATTTCAAAAAATGGAAAAAACAATCTTTTTCAAAAATTCAAAAGAATTATTTAATCTATAGATTTTAGTAAAATATGAACTTTATGTAGGTTAATAGATTCGTTTTAATGCAAGAAATAAGTTTTTTTACCAAACAAAATTAAATTTACACAGAAAAAAATATTTTGAAAAAAAAATTTTTTTAATTTTAAAAAAATTGTAAAAAAAATATGAATATATTCGGAAATCCTTGTGTCAGATTTTAGGTATTAATGATTACAATAAGCATACAAAATTGCAGGACAATCCGTTAAAACGTTTCTGAGATAATTTATACACAATATTTTGTGACATACACATACACAAACATACATCTGGACATTTATTCAGAACTTCATATATATTAATTCTAGATAAAAATGAGTCCATATAACCCAATTTTAAAACATCAAAAATTGTCACGAATGCAAAGCTTCCTCTTGAGAAAGCAAAAAGATTCAGAAAATAAAAAGTAGGTAATAATAAAAAGAAATTGAAAAAAGTTGAAAAAATTTTCGAGTTATGAAAAAATTATAATTTATGGTAAAAAATAAAAATCTTTATTATTCCATCATTTGTAAAAATAAATAAATGTCAGAAGTTTAAAAAAAAAAATTTTTTTTTTAATGAATGCAAATTTTTTTGCAACAACAAACCATATTTGTTAGTTCTATTGTTATGTCATATTTTAAATAATTATTAATTTTGCCTAATCTAAACTTATAATTATACCCTGTTCTAACTCCTTAATTTAACTTAGTTAAATTAACTAAGTTGGGGAAAGGATTATTAAATGAATGTTTCTTTAAAAATGAAAATTATTTATTTAAATAAAAGTGTAAATGTTCTTAATTGACAATCAAATATTTTATAAAATCTATTTAATTTGATTTGGTAAAACTACCTTTTTATTTGTGGTGGCGGAGTTTCCCAATCTTCGTTTCTTGGCACCTGACTTTGATCTTCTATTGAGGTAATAAAGATTTTATTACTGGAAACCTTTTAACTGATGACAACACTTTAAAACTGTATTTTACACTTGTTATGAAGAACTTCTTGTATATATATTTTGGGAATCGATACTATGATCTTTTTACGTATAATTTGGGACTGCCTTGTTAGTGAAAGGTCTCCCATTATATAGTAATATTTTCCAATGTATTTCTCGCAGCGGGACCAGTTCGCCTCTATGGGTAGATTCAATGTCGGGACCTCACAGACACGAAAAATCTTTATTGCTTTTTCTTTTAGTAGTGGTGACTCCATAATAGATTTCCTGGTTTTTAGATCGTCTTTTCTAATTTTGAATATTAAGAACATCACACCTCTATGAAATATAATAATTTTACATATTGATTTACATTGATTATTTCTGATAACAATACATTTGTTATTTACAAATATTTGTTTACAAATATTTGTTTACAAATATTTGTTTATTTATAAACGTTTATTTATAATTTAATATTACAAAAATATTTATTTTATTAAAATTAATTATTAACAATTATTATTTATTATAAAAAAATGTGACGGTGACATGATTATATTATATATTTGTTTATTTATAAATATATTTGTTTATTTATAAACAATTGTTTATCCACAAATATTTGTTTACAAATATTTGTTTATTAAAGAACAATTATTTATTTACAAATATATTTATTTATAAAAGAATTTATTTTATATAAATATTTATTTATTAATTATTATTAATTATTATTATTTTTATAAAAATGTTACGGTGACGTGACACTATATTAACAATCCAATTGTAAGTGTAACAAATTATTTTTAAGGTTTAAGGACTTTTCAAGGATTTCAAGGTCCGCTGGACACCCTGTTTTTAGCACCAACTATTTCTAGATAACTTGTTTCCAAAATTTTAGTGTATAAAAAAAATATAACAAGAATTTTGCTTTTAACCCATCATCAATCGATTAGGCATGCAGGCAGAACAGAAACATACCTATAAAAATTTTTTTCTAAATTTCTTTCTATTGGTTTACAAAATGCTCTTTACAAAGTTCGTCAAATTCTCATTGATGGAACAATTTCAAAACTGTACAATTGTTAATAATGAAATAGTTATAAACTGTTATTATTAAAGTATAAAAAATTAAATATCACATATATCTAAAAAGTAATAATTGTACATTCGATGACTCAAATATATGGTATACAGTTATATATAAAGGCTTTAAATCAGATTAGAGATAATGATATAAAAATTTCTTGTAATTTATTAATTACACCTTCTATAGATTGTGATTTCGATTGATAACTTCGTCACGGTGTTAACCGACATTTTTGAATTACTATACACTATATAATAGTTACGACAATAAGTTTACAGATTTTCGATAATTGGCTCACAACACAAGCGATAAAAACCATATTTATACATTGTTAGCTTTTTATGAATCAAGCAATTACGAAACTCATATGCTTTTAGCTCCGCAATAGCAAGGCTTAAGGTTAATCGAAAGGAATAAATGCATTCCATATTCTTTAATAAAAGAAAATTTTTTTTTACTTGGATCTAACAGGGGATATAATTCCATTTTCACTTCTACTGATTTTAATTCATTTTCACTATTAGAAATTACTGACAGTGAAAATGAACAAATTTTCGAATTAATTTATAACTTACACTCAATATGAAAATTTAAAAATTCACCAACTTGATTTTAAGGGGTAACATCGCCCAAACACTTTTAAAAAAATCGAATTTTTTTTTTGCTTACATGGTCCCTTAGAGTGTTAGAAATAGTATCCCATTAGTTTTAAGTTGAAAAAAAATATGGAACTATTTTTAAAAAAATAATTTTCGGCGGATATGTCATTTAAAATTTTCAAAATCTGACGTCATATTCGTAATGAGCAACCTCAAAAACCCCCGAGTAACAAGTTTCAAGCAAAATTGCCCATTTTTAAAAAAATTTCCGCCATATTGGATCCGACATTTTGAATTTTAAATAAAAATTTAAAAACTAACGTCATATTTGTAATCAGCGACCCCAGAAACCCCCTAGCAACATGTTTCATGTAAATCTGTTAAATTTTTAATTTTGTCATCCGCCATATTGGATCCGACATTTTGAATTTTAAATAAAAATTTAAAAACTAACGTCATATTTGTAATCAGCGACCCCAGAAACCCCCTAGCAACATGTTTCATGTAAATCTGTTAAATTTTTAATTTTGTCATCCGCCATATTGGATCCGCCATTTTGAATTTTTTAAAACTGACGAGTAGTAATTTTCGTGAGCGTAAGCTCAACTTTTAAAGTGTTGACTTCTGTTTTTATGACTGCAAACTTAAACTCGTTTTTCTCGAAACAAGATTTTTCAAAATGGGCGGAAGGATTACTCCCACAGTTTTTAACGGATTTACTTGAAATTTGGACCGCAGCTTCAGGACACTATTCCTTAGGGAAGTACGTAGGATTTTTTAAATTGGTTGATGCGTTTCCATTCTGCAGCTATTTTTTGAGTGAATTTGCTTTGAAAAATAACATTTTTGGCATAAATGATATGCCATTTTGATAAAAATCGATATTTTTAAAATACCGTACGTAGTACTCTAGCAAATAACATCTTCTTTCATAATTCGTTTTAATTTTTTGTCTAGGTACTGATGGAAAATAGAAAACCTACCGCCTGTTGAGGCTGTTTTAAAAAACGTGATTTTGGTTGAAGTGATGAAAAAAAAAATTATTGGGTCATTCCATTTTATTTCACCTATAGTCGCGTTGCAGCCTACTTTTAGAAAAATTTGATATTTCGTATTAATGACTTTGAATATCCGTACAATTCATTTTTGACAATTATTTTATGAAATTTTTTTTTATTTACGTTGGAATTTAGTATTTAAGTTGAACTGAACGGAAAATAGGTTAGTTTGACAACTATGGAAATTTTATAAAAAAGAACAGAAATAATTCAGTTAGTAAATTTTTTTTCATTGATATTTGTTTAAAATAGTCTAATTTACCAATGTTAAATGATAATTGTGTAAAAAAGGTCAAAATACTACGTGAAAATTAATATTCAAACTTCCCTGTAAATGTCAAAATTTGTCACATTTTATTTATATTTTCCAAGAATGTTTATAAATATTATAAAATTTATTACTATCTAAAAATAAGTACTTTCCATGTACTTTCACATGATATGTTGGCTTTTTATTTTTATAATATAGAAATATGTGAAATTTTACCTTGAATATTGAACTTTTCAGGATTTTATCAGATTTTGAACACTTATATCTTCGCAGGCGATTAATGAAAAAATCCCATTTTCGTTTTAAAATTTATGTTAAATCTTCTTTATTCATCTTATCAAAATTTGGTGATGGAGAACGAGCTACTTTTTATTTTTATTCACTTTAAAAAATTCACCTTAAAATACGAATTTAAAGGTTAAAAAACAAGTATTTTTATAAATAATATTCATACAAATAAATCTATATTGAGAAAACCAACTTCAGTTTTATAAAATTATTTGTTTTTTAACCTTTAAATTCGTATTTTAAGGTGGATTTTTTAAAGTGAATAAAAATAAAAAGTAGCTCGTTCCCCATCACCAAATTTTGATAAGATGAATAAAGAAGATTTAACATAAATTTTAAAACCAAAATGGGATTTTTTCATTAATCGCCTGCGAAGATATAAGTGCGTTCAAAATCTGATAAAATCCTGAAAAGTTCAATATTCAAGGTGAAATTTTACATATTTCTATATTATAAAAATAAAAAGCCAACATATCATGTGAAAATACATGAAAAGTACTTATTGTTAGGTAGTAATAAATTTATAATATTTATAAACTTTCTTGGAAAATATAAATAAAATGTGACAAATTTTGACATTTTACAGGTAAGTTTGAATATTAATTTTCACGTAGTATTTTGACCTTTTTTACACAATTATCAATTAACATTGGTAAATTACTCTCTAAATTTGAATCAGCGGAATCTCGCTGATTCTCAGCTATAAGTATACCACTGATTCCAATCAGCTTATATGCACTGATGAATTAGTGGAATTTCACTGATTTTTTAGCGTATATCCGCTGATTGGTACCAGTGGTATACTTATCGCTGATTCAAATTTAGAGAGTAGACTATTTTAAACAAATATTAATGAAAAAAAATTTACTAACTGAATTATTTCTGTTCTTTTTTATAAAATTTCCAAAGTTGTCAAACTAACCTATTTTCCGTTCAATTCAACTTAAAAACTAAATTTCAACGTAAATAAAAAAAAATTTCATAAAATAATTGTCAAAATTGAATTGTACGGATATTAAAAGTCATTAATACAAAATACCAAATTTTTCTAAAAATAGGCCGCAACGACTATAGATGAAATAAAATGGAATGACCCATATTCTTTTTTTATTTTAGTTTAGTTTAATACATGTGTTTTAAGTTTAAAAAATCTAACATTTTACTGTACCGTTTTTTTTTAAAATAAATTATTGAAATAGACTCTATTTTTACATGCTCTGATGGGTGATGTTACCCCTTAAATGGAATAAAAAAATTTGTTTCAAAATATAAAGAAAAAGGAATAAGAATATTTGTAGATATATTTCCGAGGGGGAATTTATTCAGGTAGTCAAGTGTACACTCTTCCTGTAATACTTATGTAGTAACGTGTAATACCGTGTAATAATGCGTTATTACAGTGCTGTAATAACGCAAAAAACTCTGTAATATCTCTGTAATAATGTGTAATACTCTGTAATAACGTGTAATAACTTAGTAATAAGGATAATATGAGGTGTAATACCGGTAGTCAAGTGTACACATTTTTAACTAGTAAATTCCCCCTCGTATATTTCTAAAAGATATACGTATATATACGAGAGGAAATAGCCAGGGATTTTACCATATAATTTGAAAGCATCTCTTGGACAGTGTATGTCGATGCCATATTCCGAGGGTATTAAAACGTTGTCCATGACTCTCCTCTAGAAATAGAGATCTACTACTATTTTGACCATTAAGCCACTGGGTCAACAGTATATTGACATTAGGTGTATGGTTTTGTAGGTGTTGCATCAGCGTTGAGAGTTCATATGGGATACATTGCTGGTTTAGTGCCAGGGACGAAAGCTGCTTCAACTTATCAAGTGGACGCCCAGGGCACTCGTTCTCATCTTCGATGCGGGTCAGGACCAATAATTAGCATTACAAGTGAGGAAGATCGCCGACTGAGCCTCGGGCTTCGACGCAAAGAAAGCTCCGAACCAAGGGTCAACTTTATCCTTCCCTCTCGTAAGTTTACAAATTCCCTTTTACTCTTTACTCGACTTAATTGACTACTCCATCTTCACAGGGTATCAAAAAAAAAAAAAAAAGAAAGAAAGAAAAAATGAAATGTAAAGCTAACTACCTACTAAATATAAAGTGATGGATAAAATGTAAACGAAAAAATTAATTGAAAAAATATTTTATAAAATTATATTTACACAGGAATATATAATTATGTCAGAAATACTTTTTTAAATAGTTTAGAATTTTTAAGTATGTACTCAATTATTATTAATTTGTGCAATTAAGGTTATTTACATTTGTAACTGCGCAGTAAGCAATTAAAATTGCAAAGAAAAATTTATGATTCCTTTTCGCTATTAATTTTAAGGGCCGGCAGGGACCGCTGAAATTTCAAACTTTCGAAATTAAGGCTGTTTAAGGTTGTCAATTTTTTTTCCGATAATATTGAATATTTAAAACTGTAATATACTAGGGAAAATTGAAAAACAATTAATTCATTAATAATTTTTTTAATAAAAATCGCAATTTTCAAAAACTAAAATTTTTTTGTCGCAATTTTATTATTTTTCATTGCTAATTTTTTTAAAACACTTTTTTCATAATTCTGAACAATCAGTCGCATGGATTTTGAATAAATTTAATTTTTTCAAAAAATAAAATTTCTAAAAAATAAAAAATAAGGTTTTCAATTCATGACCATTTAGCTTCCTCATCATGATACACTTATATTCAAGATTGAAAGAAGGATTACAACTAAAATAGCGATCAATTTTACAAATATTGGTAAAATGTAAACTTTATGTACATCAATCGATTCGTTTTTATGCCAGGAATACGGTTTTGACAAAATTTATTAAAAATTTTCATGAAAAAAAAGTAATTTCAAAAAATACGAAAAAATTTTTTTTTATCAAAAATTAAAAAATGGTATAATTTATAGATTTTAAGTAAAATATAGACTTTATATAGATTAATCAATTTGTTTTAATGCGAGAAATCAGTTTTTTGGATAAAAAAATTATATTTACAGTGTAAAAAAAATTTTGGTTAAAAAACGTATTTTTGAATTTTTGAAAAAGTGAAATAAAAAAAAATTATATGGATATTTTTAGAAATCCTTGTGTCTGATTTTAGGTATTGTAATAAGCCTATAAAATTTCAGGACAAATATCGAAGTGTATTAGAGATAATTTGTACACAAGATTTTGTGACATACACACACACACATACATCCGGACATTTGTGTAAAACTTCAAATATATGCATTCTAGATAAAAATAAGCCCATATAACCAATTTTTAAAAAATCGAAAATCGTCACGAATACAAAGCTTCCTCGTGAAGAGAGGAACCAAAAATTGTAAAAAAATTTTTTTTTCATTTTTTCCATTGTGAAAAATGATTTTAGGTTCTAAAATAGTAGATTGTGTGGCAAGGGCGGAAAGTAGTCAATTCCTGACCGAGTGTGAATTTTGCCGCACGAGGTAAGGAATTGACCTTTCCGCCCGTGTTGCACACGATGTTTTTTGTCCCATTGTACGATAAACAAGACGCCTAAGGAAGTAAACTGGAGAAATACCAATGACCAAATATTGTATGTTAAAGATACTGGATATATTTTTATTATGTTTGAGGGAAATTTATATTATTATATTTTATAAAATTATTTAAAAATATTAAAAATTTGGTGAAATAATTATTTAAAAATACTCAACTTGAAAAATGTGTCTTAAATAACCCAAAAAATTACTTTTCTGCCCGCTATTGGTGGTTGGGCGGCAAAAGCCTACTTTCCGCCGGCTGTACCTGCACGGAAAGTCGCGTTTATCGTGCATGTTGAAAAAAATTTTATTTTAAAATAGTTACCCCTAAACAAAATTAATTAAAAATTTTAAAATTTTTAAAAAATAAAATTTCTAAAATGGCCAAAAAATTTTTTTTTTTTAATTTTGATAATTTACGATAATTTTTGATCCCAAATAATGACAGAAAAGCAGAATTTTTATTTAGACAAAATTAATTAGCCAGAAACTGAATTTGATGAAATCACAATTTGTGCGAAACGTTGTTTTGTAGAATATTAATTTTTCAGAATAGTAATTCAAAAGAATCTTAATTATGCAGAAAGAAGATTAGAAAGAATATTAAATCAACATAATATTCTTCTTTTCAAATATTGATTTTACAGAAAATGCAAATTAAATTGTCGAAAAGATCGAAAATCAATTTGACACAACTATTTTGAGGTTAAGTTTAAAATTGACCGCAATTACAATTTTTGTGATAATAATTTCTGATTGGTAAAATTTAATATTCGCGTCCAATTATTTCTGTCAAATTAATTTTCGACCATTTACATTTTCTGTAAAATTAATATTCGAACTGAAGAATATTATGTTAAATTAATATTTTTTTCTAATCTTCTTTCTACATAATTAAGATTCTTTTGAATTTCTATTCTGTAAAATTAATATTCTACGAAACGGTTTGCAGACTTTTTAAAAAATCATCTATTCATTTTTCATTTTTTTTTAAAAATTAATATGCTCTTCCTCTTCCTTATAACGGATGCTATTATTAAAAAATTAACTGTTAAATAAATAAAGAAACATAGAGTTTGATATACATATATTACACTTTTTTTAGGTTAGGTTTCGATTTTTTTATGAAACAAATAACATTGTGCATAATTACAGATACATTCAATAAAACTATCAATGACACAAATAAACTTTTTGTTGTTATTAAATAAAAAATTCTTATAATATGAAGTTCACATTGAGAACCACAATTATTATTGTTTTTATCTTTATATCTGTTCCATAAATACGTACAATTATAAAAAAACGAGGTCCGTCGAATTGGAATACCTTTTTTTTACCGTTCCATAAATAGGGACATTAAAAAATTGTTATACATTAATTAAAACAGTAATGAAATTTCAAAAAAAAAATTTAATTTAATAAATTTTATGAAAAAATAATCTCAGATCTATAAATAACATTGTAAAATAACATTTACCTATTTAGAAGATCCAAATTCAAAGAAATTATAAAAAAAATGTAGGTTATGTTTATGATTATTTTAACTTGATTAGCCCAAACCTCCAATCTTTTTGAAACTATGTATATCCACGTATTTTGACGCGCTGATTACGAAAATCATAGTGAAAATTGGCGCAAATCTGATTATCATGGTAAAAACCATAAAAAAACACCATAAAATTATGGTTTTTTGTGATTAACTCGTAAAAACGCAAAATTTCGAAAAATGTTTTAGACAAAAGTTGTAAGTCTCAAAAAAACACACATTTTATGTTTTATCTATTTTTTACCAAAAGTGATTATTTTTTGAGAAAAATAAAAAAAACAATAAAAAACATCAAAAATGATGGAAAAACAGTGCACATCATAACTATAGAGAGAAATTTGGATCCCACCCGACTTTGTCTGCAGAATACTTTCACCCATATCCGACCTCTCTCGCGTAACTTCCTCTATCTAATGAGTTCAGGTGAAAAATGTATATTACATAAAATGTGTGTTTTTTTAAGACGTACAACTTTTGTCTAAAACATTTTTCGAAATTTTGCGTTTTTTACGTGTTAATTGCAAAAAACCACAATTTTATGGTGTTTTTTATGATTTTTACCATGATAATCACATTTGCGCCAATTTTTACTAACATTTTCGTAATCAGCGCATCAAAATACGTGGATGTAGTTTCAAAAAGATTGGAATTTTGGGCTAATCGGAACTACACCCTAGAATATAAACGTAACCGTAATCGCAATCGTAAACGGAAGAATGTGTTAGAGAAGGATAGTCATATATTGTTGTTCTTCTCTTACTAATTCTTCCGTTTGCGATTGCGATTATAATTCCGGTTCCCAAACAGCGCGGTATATCCCCTGAATATCTCTTGAATACCACCGTGGAATATTCCCATGATCATCCAGGAAAATCAAAATGTCCGCATAATGGGAATATTCCACAGAGTGACATTCAGGGTATATTCCAGTGACATTGAGGGTAATATTAAAGGAATATTCCAGTGATATTGAGGGAATATTCCACGGTTATATTGAATTTTTTTTAAGTGTTGAAATAATAGAAATGTGTTATAAATTGTTATTTGAATGAGCAGGAAGATTAAAAACATATTTTAAAAAAAAATTCAATGTAACCGTGGAATATTCCCTCAATATCACTGGAATATTTCCACAATATCACCTGAATATCCCCTTATAATGTCACTGGAATATTCCATGAATGTCACCGAGGAATATTCCCTCAATGTCACTGAAATATACCCTGAATGTCACTATGGAATATTCCCACCCTACTGAAAATCCCTGTACAAGATCTTGTACAATTTCCTGTACAGGATCAGCAACTGAACTTGTACAAGTTCTGACCAGTTCCTGTACAGGAAAATGCATACGAATTTGGAACAAGTTCATGTGTGAGATCTTGTACAAGATCTGGTGCAAGTTCTTGCACAAGAAAGATACTTGTACAAGAAAATGTACATGATCTTGTACAATTTCATGTATAAGTATTTGTACATGAACACGTCCATGTTCTTGCACATGTTAATTTTTTTTTTCTGTACTAAAAATTAAAAACTTCAAAGGCTGCGCAATAGTTTACTTTAACCTTTATAGCTGCGCAATAGTTTTTAGCATGCATGAGTTACGAATTTTAGTGGTTAAAAATGATCAAAATCTCAAATTTTATTTTAAAAAATTTTTTACAACTATACATGTGCAAGAACATGAACGTGTTCATGTACAAGTACTTATACATGAAATTGTACAAGATCATGTACATTTTCTTGTACAAGTATCTTTCTTGTGCAAGATCTTGCACCAGATCTTGTACAAGATCTCACACATGAACTTGTTCCAAATTCGTATGCATTTTCCTGTACACGAACTGGTCAGAACTTGTACAAGTTCAGTTGCTGATCCTGTACAGGAAATTGTACAAGATCTTATACAGGGATTTTCAGTAGGGCATGATGCGGACATTTTGATTTTCCTGGAAGATCATGGGAATATTCCACGGTGGTATTCAAGGGATATTCAGGGGATATACCGTGCTGCTTGGGTTACGTTTCTATTATTGTGCTTAGGCTTTAAACGTATTTTTTACATCAAACTATCATAAACATAACCTACAATTTTTTGCCCCATCTATATAGTGTTTTTATCTCAGATTAAAAATTCTGATGTAGAATATTTTGTTTCCAACAGATTCGAGCGCAAATAATTCATCATCATCACGTGAGAAAATTCGAGGTTCACCTCGATTTCCACATCGAATTGTACCTGCCAATAGTCTCGGGACAATTTCTTCGTTTTCAACTATTGGAATATCAAGACCACATCGTTGGCATTCGATGGAGGATGCATGGAAACCAAAATTCACAGGAACCCCACGAGGATCATGTCATCAAAACAGTGATGTCTGGGCAACGCAAGAAGTTGGAATTCCCCTTAGTGAATTGGGCAACACATTCCGCGGGAGACGACCTCCGGACTATCAATCATTGAATTTAACAATTCCAGCTGACTCAGACGTCAGTCCCGACGATGTAAGACTCGGTAGTGATCTTCGAAAACTTTTTCAAGAAAAAGATGATGTATCCGAATTGAGCAGTCCCATTGATTTGGAACAAAGAAATAATCTAACAATAATCACATCGCCAACTGCTCTTAGGATATCGAATGTGATTGCCGAACTTTCGAGAACAAATGGATCAATTGTGACTGTTACCAGTAGTAGTAGTAGTAGTAGTTGTTGTTGTAGTAGTAGTGCTCAAGAAAATGGTTTGGGTGTTTCAAATGAAGAATGTACAGTATCTCAAAGTTCCAGACAAATTTTGCGAACTAATTTAGACAGTCAAATTTATGAGACTGTGGATTTGTCCTCGTCATTTGATGATCATGGACCCACAGCCGTTTAATTTTTAATGAATGTGTTCCTTAGTTGACGTGCCAAAAACAAAATCAGGCCCACAGAAGATATTCTTGGATAAGATTTGCAAGTCTATTTATTAAGATGAAATACTGACATAATATATTGTATATTTATCGTGCATGCGGAGAATTCTAAGGGACCAAGGCGCTTGTTACTTGAAAGCCACTAAATGTTCACTATATGTCCTATATTATATGTGTAAATTATCGCGCATATTTTCTTAAAAAAAAATCTCTCGAACTAATTGAGATTAATCAAATAACCATATAGAATATATAATGGATCTTTAAATGTGTGAATTCTATATACAAATTTGCGTTTATAATAATTGTATTAAAATTTTTCATTTTGGCAAATTCATATTTTTTTTTAATTATCATTTAATTTTTCTAATACAAATTTCCAAATGCCTCGTTTCGAATGATATTTCTTCGCTCTAGAAGATTGTATAAATAATTAAGATTTATAATTCTAATTACGACAGTTAGATGCAATTTCGTTTCACGAGTCCATTGATACAAAAAATTTGTTTTTCACTATATGTCACGTATGTTTTTTCAGAGACGAATGAATAAACATTAAAGATAATTTTTCAAAATTATGATTTAAGAAAAAATGTGCCACAAATTGAAGTCAAGCGTGCTTTAAAAAAAATATATTTTAAAACAATTTTATAAAATCAGCAAACTATACACTGAGAAAAATGTTTAGTATCATCTACCAAAGTTTGGTTCTCTCTACCAAATTTTTTATTTGATATATGTGCAACTAATCCGTTTGGTTCGGGCTACTAAATTTTTTCGTTGAATCATTTTGTTCGGTCTACCAAATTTTTTGTTTTGCACAACTAACTTATTGTTTTTAAGCAAACAAAAAATTTAGTTAACTGAAAATTTTTTTTTTGTTTTCTCAACCAACTTATTTTTTTGTTTCACCCTTTTCTCTTTATATAACCTAACTATGCCTACTTAAATTAATTTCTATCGCGGAAAAAACCTAACACTGCTGGGGCTCGAACCCTCAGACTACGCAACGCTAGTCGAGAACGCTGACCACTACTCTACGAATCCTACTAACAATTTGAGATTAAATCATTTTCACAATGTATAAAAGCTGGAAAAAAACTTTCGTTCTTGTAACAAGTTTTATTTATTTATTTTCACTACACAAACTTTTTTTTTTAAAAAATGTCTGAAAAACATAAAAACTTCAACACTGAAACTTCACGACGCGAACGACATATGGTTAATGTTGACATCCCGTGAATGGGAAGCGACGCCATATTTACGAGAAGAGCGCGTGCGCAATACAGCATGTCAGCTATTTAGTACTGGGAACCAAACTATTTAGTTCGTAAACATGAAAGCTTCAAATACATTTTTTGGTAGAGCCAACTAAACTTCCCGATTTATTGCCACTTTCTATTCTGTTGTGACAACCATATTTTAGTAACGCCAACTAAAAAAGCTCAACTAAATTATTTTCTTATTATTACGAAATTATTTTTCTCAGTGTAATTTTGAAGTATATTTACGTTACTACGAGTCACAAATGCAAAGAATTTAGGATAAATATCGTAAAATTAATAAGATATTGGCAAAAGAAAATTATTATACCGGGTGACTCACAAAAATTCATTTAAACTAAAATCATTATAAATTATAATTATTTGAACGATTTTATTACGTTTAATTAAAAAAAAATACAATGCTGCCATGTTCCACGGAACTTTTGCCGAAATATTTATTTAGTTCACTTTAAAAATCTTTTTTATATATTAATTGACGGTGAAGGCTCATTTAAAAAAATTTTTACATTATTTTAGGGGTTTAATTTATCAAAAAATCATATTTGTAAGACAATATCTTTACTAAAATTGTTCAAAAAAAAAAAAAAAAAAAAAAAAAACTTTTATAAGTTTAGGGAGGTTAACTCCATAAGACACAATGTTAATTTAATTGCAAATATTTTCAAAACTAGACAGTGAAAATTATCTAAACTTTAAAAAATTACGTAAAATTATTTCAACTTTAACATATTTCAAAAGCATAAAAAAATCTTTACTTTTTGTTATGGCATATTCCTACTTAATAGAATTTTATTCCGTAGAATATTATTTTTGCAAAATTGTATTTTAAAAGAATCTTAATTTTGCAGAATTAAAATTGTAAAGAATTTTAATTTTACAGAATATTTATTTTTTCTGTTTTTAATTTTACATAATTTCTATTTAACCAATTTGTCAAAGCTGCAGAATTTTTATTTAGACGAAAATTAATTTTAATCGGAAATTCAATTTGATCGAATCTCAATTTGTGCGAAACGTTGTTTCGTAAAATATTTGCGAAAAAATAAAAAAAATTGCAAAATTGCTAATTTTGCTGAATGGTGATTCCAAAGAAACTTAATTATTCCTGAAACACAATTTCTGTGATAATTTCTGATTGGTCAGATTTAAAAATCGGGATAAAATAGTTCTGTCTCAAATTGATTTTCGACCATTTTGCGTTAATATTCGAACAGATGAATATTCTGTTAAATTAATATTCTTTCTATTCTTCTTTCTGCATAATTAAAATTTTTTTAAATTACTATTTTGTAAAAATAATATTCTGTAGAGTAAAATTTTATTAAATCATAAATCTGAAAAATTAACTTTAGTGTTTATTCATGCGTCCCGTTTTTTCCGATGTAGGGCAGTGTGTAGATGTGCGGTCAGATTATTGTAAATGAAAATTTTATAATTTTAAAAGGAAAATTGCTTTAAGAGTACTCGCGAATTAAAGATCAAAAAAATGTTAAGACTCTTGAACTAAAGAGTCAATTAAGTCAGTTTACAAAATTTTTTTAAAAATTGTGTCTCACCCAAAAAAATTTTAATTTATTTTTCATTTTTTTATCAATTTGTTTTAAAAATGCATTTTACCAATCGAAAGAGCGTCGTCAAAAAAATCTGTAAAAATTAATATTTTAAACTGGAAATATTTTTTTTTTATTATTTAATTGAAAAAATTATGTTAGCATCATCAGTGCTTTTAAAAATTAAAAACCTTTTTTTGTACCTTGATCACTTTACGTGAAATCCCCCATAATTGGAAAAATATTGAAATTCAATATTATAATTTCCAAGTATTATCAGTGCGTCGAAGTGATTTTGGGATTTTATTACCTTTATACCTGAATCCCGAGTTTTATGTTTACATTGAAGTGTAAATAGTACCTTACATTAAAGGTCGTAACAATTTAACAATGGAAAATCCCAAAGATAATTAAATCACTTGCAATTCGTGTATTGACCTGTTTAGACGTGCTCAACGTGAATGTAAATTTTCCAAACAATTGCAAAATTTTTGCTGTGTTAAACGTACATTTTGTTTGTTTTTTTTTGTTCCGAGAGTGTTCGAAATTCTTAAAACCGCGATCGTTTAAATCTTTAGGAAAAAGTATTTAATTTTTTAATTTAAAAACGTGATTTCCGGAGTGTTCGAGATTTTTTTTAAATCGCGTGTGTTTCCAGCAGATATTATCGTCCGAAATTTCTAATAAACGTCGGTTACATGCTGAGGTTAGAGAAATATTTTTTTATAAATAATAATAATAATAATTTTATTTTATTGTATAATTTATTTATATTTTGTTTACTATTTGTATTTTATATATTTTTGATAGACTTCCTAAAGAGGAAATCATTTCGGTTTTGGAACGTTTAGGCGCGGATTCACAGTTTGGCGAATGGGGCGAACGCCTCCCTCCAAAAGTCCATTATTTTCATATGTAATATTAGTAATATTAAATTCTTACAAAAATTCATGTGTCATTTTGAAACAGATTTCATCTGTAATTTAATCGTAATTCGTGCAGTTTTATTCGGAAAAACAAATACAAATTAAATTTTACTTTATATTTATTTTTTTTTTTTTTTTCATATAAAAACAGAGTTTTTCATAATTTCACTGATTTTATGTTGTTTTGAGAGGTGGGCATTTGTTTAAGACATTATAGTAATTATATAATTAGACTTTTGTGTATCTCGAACTACTATTTACAAAAAACATTGGAAGTATTTATCAAAATATAAGTACCATGTATTTTTTTTCCTACGAAAAATCTGATTTTTCATTTTTTTCTGATTTTATGTTGTTTTAAGGGGTGGGGCATTTGTTTTCGATTTTAAAAACTATTGGACTCACTTTCTGGCATCTCGAACTACTATTTCCAGGAAAAAATTGAAAGTATTTATCAATATATAAGCATCATGTATTTTTTTCACGAAAAACCTGATTTTTTCATTTTTTTTCTGGTTTTATGCTATTTTAAGGGGTGGGGCATTTGTATGTGATTTTAAAAACTATTGGACTGACATCGGATTTAATTGCAAAGTTTAGTGAGAATTGTGTAAAGATTTAAATGTCCGAATTAAATAAATGTTTAGTGTGAAACTTTCCTGAACATTTAAATGAAATTTTTGCCTAATTATAATTAATAATAAATTAAATAATTATTATAATCAGGCGAAAATTTCATTTAAATGTTCAGGAAAGTTCTACACTAAACATATAAAAAAAATATCCAGTTTAAATATTGCGTCGCATATAATTTTATTTTTTATATTATGTCGATGTGTTTTTTTTATGAAATTTAAAATTATTTAGTTAAAAATCTTTTTTGGGCCAAGAAATATATTCGAAACGAAGGGCATTCGTAAAAATGGTATTAAATGCCATATAAATCTCAATTTTCCCTTTCCCGCGTTTAAGGTTATGTATATGATTGTTGTGTTTTCACATGTAAATATTCTTCGCAGGTTTTCTCGAAAAATACTTGATAGATTGAGCTAAAATTGTATAGAGAATTCAAAAATAGTATATAAAGATTCGTTGTTATATACAAAAGTTTATTAATATTTTGTCAAAAAAAATTATTTTTAAAAAATTGCATATTTGAGGAAAATTCAATATATATTGGCAATACATTTTTTCATCGTTTTCCAAAATATGGAATTTGTTAAAAATAAATTTTTTAATAAAATTTTAATATAATATATGGCACATGACAACGAATTTTTATACTATTTTTGAGCTCTTCACAAAATTTTAGCTCAATCTATTTAAATATTTTGCGAGAAAATCTGCGAAAAATATTTTTTACATATGTGAAATCACAACAATCACATATAACCTTAAAGAAATATATAGAAAATTTTCAAGACTTTATTATCCTTGAAGTACTTCTGTGGGCCAAAAAATGAAGTGTTCAATAGTCCCAAATTCCCTGTTTTTAGTACCTGCGCTACTATACATTCACGTACAATTATTGAGTTAAAAAATTTCAATACATTTTTGGATGGATTGCTTGAAAATATTCGCTTCATTATTTCAAATATAAATATTTCTTTGATGTAATTAAATTTAAAAAAAAAGGAATTTTTTTCTTCTAACTCACGTTAATAATCTGAACTCGAAATTTTAGAACCGTAATTTCCAAAAATTAAAAAAATAGTATTTAAAGAACTATAATTGTATATATTTATATTCTTAAAATAAATGCTGATGATTTAAAAAATTTTCAAATAATGCCGGTTTAATAGCTATGTAGGTACTGGAATTTTTACAGAAATTTTTTTATATTCAAAGTGAAGCGAACATTGTTATTAATCCATATGGATATATTGAAATTTTTCAATTCGTGTGTACAAATACCTATAAAGTATTATAAAATGTAAAAATCTGTGAAAAAGAATGTTTGCTCCGCGTGGTACACACAGATGAGTAAAATATTCAATATTTTCATGCTCCTCAAAGAATAAAAATACATATATATAATTTCATTAAAAAGACTATACATATATATATATATATATATATATAATAAAACATAACATAGAAAATTGGAAATTTTTTCCTAAAACTTGCGATGTAAATTTTGAAAATTTATTTAACTTTTTATCGATTTAATATATAATAATTATAAAAATAATATGTGTTAAAAATAAATATTTATAAACAAATAGTAAATGTTTTACAATGATTGGAAAAATGTTCTGCATTAATAAAAAATTTTAATTATTATATATTAGATATAAAATAATTTAAATTATCAGATATAAAATTATCTCGATTATCCAATAAGATAATGTAGGTAATTTATATAATATTATCTAATTATAAATATTATTGTTTGGAAAAATTCTAAGACTTTAAATTTTACACCGAAAGATTCAAGAAAAATATTTACAAAAAAACTTACAATCAAAAAAATGTGAAATTATTATTATTATTTATTATTTCAGAATTTTTTATATGTGAAATTTTCACACTTTTCCAACAGTCAGTGAGAATGACAATTTTTGTTTAGACAAAAAAATTTAAACTAATTTTATTTTAAACTTTCTATTTACCTAATTTTTATATTAACGAGTGATGTCATAATTTTATTAATTATCATAAATTGTAAAAAAAAAATTGTATCAATTATGAATCGCAGCAAAAAAAAAAAAAAAAAATTAGAAGTAACGATAATAAAGTAAGAAGAAATATTTCGAAGATATAAAAATTAGATGAATAGAGAAATAATAAGAAAAAAAAAATGTAATTCGTTAATCGATCATTGTAATATTTATATAATCAAAAAAAAAAAAAAAAAGAATTATTATATATGACCCCACAACAACAAAAATGTATTTCTTTTACAAAAATCATAAAAAAATGAACGATTTAACAATTTCAATTATTGATAGTAGTTAGAAAATAATGTAATCATTTTCTATTAGTCGCACAAACTAAAATTCTCCTTTCATTTCTCAAATCATCAACACTAACTGTATCAGAAAATCAATGTAATATTCATTTTATTGTTAATTTTTAAAATTCTCATCTTCTTGCTCGAAGTGTGTTTAATAAAAAAAATTGAACTTTTTCCAAAAAAAAAAATGTCCTTTTTATTTGCAAAAAAAAAATCATTCAATTAAATCAATAAAAAAAGACAATTTTTTGTTTAATTTAAAACTTTTTATTTACTGCATTCGTTTCTTTTTTTATTAGCTTCTTACTCTATATTTCTTAAAATTTCCAACAAATACCTAACTAAATACAATAATGATGATTTGCATATATACACAGTGCGAAGTGGTGTATAAAATCGGATATATCTAATATTGTGAAATAAAAACATTTACTAGCAAATATAAAATATGTACAATGATTTTTTTGAAATTAAAATCGCGAAAAATAGATCAACGTGAACTATTCACGATTTTTCTGTTCCGTAATTATTATTATTATTATTATTTTTTTTTTTTTTTTTTTACAAATTACAGATGTTTTCATAAACTAAACGTATTTGTCGAAAATAATTATAATAACTCCTTTTACAGTCATTTAACGTAAATTTAAAAAAAAAACATTGTTAAATAATATGCAGCTAAAATTAAACATTCACACAAGAAAAAAAATTAAGTTTGTCATATTTTATTGACGTAACAAAAAAAAAAAAAAAATACGTAATATCGTACAAAGAATGAAATTATTCAATTTCTCTGAAATAAAATAAAACAAAAAGAAACAAAAAATTTCTTTAAATTCTGCACGTAACTTAACAAAATATTAAATATATATTTAATTTAAAAAAAAAAAAATTTGAATAATACCCGCAACAATTTTTTTTTTAATTTATAAAACAAATTGTATTGTGCAAAAAATACAAACAAAAATTTAACTTAATTTTTTTTAAAGCAATATTCTATAATATCTATTTATAACATTTATGCGCAATGTTTTTCATACACTTTTCTTAAAGAAGAAAATTTTTTTTTCTTTGTAAATCGTCAATAAAGAGAGAAAAAATTAAAAAATTATAACATTCTAAAAATGTGTTCGAAATTTTAATAATAGTCTTATAATGTTCTGTAATTCCTGCTTTTCTTTTTCAATCCCAATTTGGACGATAACAATTTTTTTTTTTTTTTTTTGCTGTCGCTTTAATGAACCGACACCTGAAACATTATAAAAATACTTGTATTTTTTGTTATAAAATTATAATTTAAATTTTATACATTTCATTAAAAATATTAATATTTTTTTCTACTTTTTAATTAACCCTTTATCACTGTGGGGGCCGAATAGACTCCAATCTTTTTTTTTTTTTTGCAATTCTTATATAATTAAATTCAGAAAATAAGTGAATTTGAAAATAATTAGATTTACAAAATAATTGCACTTAAAAATAATTAAATTTGAAAGTAATTGACTCTTATAATTGAATTTTAAAAAATTGAACTTTTTACAAATTTGAAATTTTAATTACATATAATTGAATTTTGTAAATATAACTGAATTATATAATTAAATTAATTATGTAAATGCCTTTAAAAATTTTATAAAAATTGGATTGAATTTGGAAAAAAAATTTTAAATATTTTTAAAATGTATTGTCAATTTTTAATGAAAATAACAATATTATTGAATGTTCAATTTATAATTTTGTACTTAATTTTTATCTTTTTTTAAATAAAAGCTACAAATTTTTAAAAAATTTTAATAATAGGAAAGATTTTTTATATTTGTGTAATATATTTTTTGACAATTATTTTATAAAATTATTTTATTTTAGAAATTTGAATTTGAAAATTAAACTGAAAAGAAAAAAAGTAACTTTGACATCTGAATAATTTTTTTTACATTAGACAAATTCAATTTTTAACGCTTCTCTAAAAAAATCATTCTCATTTTTTCTCAAAACTCTAGAAATGATTAATATTTTTTTCTACTATTTTTGGATTTATTTTAATTCCTAGGATTTTTTTTCTTTTTTTTAACTCAATTGAAGTTATTTACAAATTAGAAAATCGTAAATGTTTTATTGCAAAAGTTGCAAAAATTAAAAAAAATTTCTATACAATAGAAGAATAATTTTTTTTAAATTTAGCAAATAAATAATCTAAATTTTTTCTTAAAGTTTCAAGTAACTTTTGAAGAAATGAATTTTTTGCACCTAAATATTAATCAAAATTTTTTTGAATTTTTTTCGTGATATATTTTATATTTACGTCTGGGTAAACTTTAGAATTCAAATTCCAAGGTCAAATACAAAAATCTTTATAAAATAATTGGAAAACTCATTCTTATAAATTATTAAATTAAAAAAAAAACAATGACTTTGAGTAAAATATTATAATGAAATAATATATTAAGCAACAAGGGGTTAATTGGTCTGCCTGTAATCCTGTGTTACTAACAACACTTTTTATTCCAAAAGCACAAATTTGGCGTTTTTTTGTTACCTGACGGCTGAATATATATATATATATTATTTTTTAGACGAATTTTCAATTTTCGAATTAAAATTTAACGGATTTTCTTTTTATACAAATGAAAATTTGACGTATTAAAAATTCTATCAATTAAAGATTCGTACAAATAAAAATTTGGAATTTCTGTTATTTAAAAATTCAAATCACATAAAATTCTATTGAATGAGAATTCTATTAAATTAAAATTCTTTTAAATAAAAAGTCATGTAAAAGAAAAATTACTATAAAATAAAAATTTCCCATACAAAAATTCGAAATCTAAAAATTTTGTTACGTAAAAATTCGTATAAAAAAAATTTCATCAAATTTTTAATTCAAAAATTGAAAATTCGTCTAAAAAATAATTATTTCTAATAAAATACTTTAAAATAAAAATGTTAATAATTGATTTTTATGGGAAATTCATGCACCCTATTTTTAACCTAGAGAAGAAAAATTGACACCATTTTCAGGCAGAAGAATAAATGAATGGCTTTACACCCGGCCGTCAGGTATCTAAAAGCAGTATTTTTATGCCTGTGTGTTAAAAAAATCTATTAATTAATAATAAGAAATTTTTAATAAAATTTAAAATATCTTCTCACCTCAGTCTCTAATGAATTAGTCGCAAGAATTTGATTAACTTTAATCTGCTTATCGTCCTGAATTTTTGTCGTATTCAACGAAATATTCGTGTTTCCATAACGAGCATCATCAGTCTGTGAAGTAATTTCAAATTTTTTCTCCGGACTATTTAAATTTTTCTTTGCCTCCATTCTTTTTCGATTTAAAAAAGCCATACCATGTACCCTTAAATGTTTATCAACAGCAGCTTTATCCTCAAAAACAGCCATACAAACGTAACATTGATTCTCATCAGTTGTCACTTCCTCTTCTTCTTCTTCTGTATCCTCTAAATTTTCCGGTGCAAACGAAGTATTTTGCAATAAATATGTTAATGGATCGTCAATAGCATGAAATGCCTTTAAATGCATTTGAAGACTTGGTGCAACAACAAAATTTTCACCACACTCAAGACATACTAAATATCGTCCTTTTATTCGATGACTTTTCGAAATATGTTGTCGCAAATAATCCATATCGATAAATTTCATTTCACATTTTTTACATTTAAACATACCATCGTCTTCTAAAACAGATTCAGCTTTAATACAAATCCCTGCTGATTTATCAATTTTCTCTGGTGATTTTGGTGTAAATCGATTACGTCGTTTACGTTTTTTTGGACTTGATGTTGATGATGATGATGATGTTTCACATTTAATTTTTTTTGTTAAAACTTCTTTATAACCACCATCAATATAATCGGAGGATATTTTTAATAATTTTGGATTAAGTTCAGCAACAATATATTCATCGGGATGCCAAATATCAAAATGTGTTTTTAAAACAGACCACGATGAATCAATTAATTTACCGCATAAATGACATTTAAAATCTAAAATAGTCTCTTGATAATTTAATGGTCCATTAAATGCAATTCGACATTGTTTACGTTTTTTTGCACGTCTTTTAGTTTGATTATTATTTGTTTGTTCATCTAATGAATGATTTTTTAAAATATGCTGTGGAATTCTTGCCAATGGTGGTGGTGGAATTTTTTCATTTAAATTTAAATTCTCTTTAAATTTAATTTCACGATTATTTTGCCGATAATTTATTTCACTTGAATTACTACTTTCATCGTCAAATGTAATTCTTTCTCTAAGTGTACGTTTTTGAAAATTTATATTTCCAGTGAAATTCATATTTTCACTTGATTTTGTAATAATATGCCAATTATTATCATTATTTTTTCTTCGTTGTCGTTTTTGTCTTGTACGTGTTCGAATTTCATTTAATTTTGTTCCATTTTCATTAATTTTTGAAATATCTTTTAACATTGGTAATGATTTTGTATATTCATTTTGTAATGTTGTTGTCGTTGATTCCATTCTTTTTGCCAATGTTTTAAAAGTACGACTCATTTTTGCTTTTAAATTTTCTAATGCATTCAAATTGTTTCCTGATTCTTTTTCTTCTTCTTCTTCTTCTTTGTGTTTTAAATTTTCTTCGCATTCAGTGAGATTTTTTTCTTTTATTTCAAAATTATCATCAATTTCACGATATTTTTGTTCAATATCAATTGAATTTTTTGTATTATCGATAATTTGTTCACTATTGATTGAAATTATTTTATCATTTTCATTTGTTGATTCATTATTTTTAGATGAAAATATTTTCTCATTTAAACATTGAATATTTTCATTGGGAAATTCACTTTTTTCTAAATTTTCAGCGTTTTCTTGTGATGAAAATTGATCATTAATCAATGATTGAGTATTATTTGATTGATTATCTTTATTTGTCGATTGATAATCATTATTTTGAGATTTATCATCTTCTTGCGAAAATTGACTGTCATCGTTTGAAGATTGACAATATATATGCAGAAAATGATGATCTTCGTATGATGATTGATTATTTTTATTCAAAAATTTATCATTTTTGCTTGAGGATTGATCATTTTTTTTTGAAGATTGATCATTTTTACACGAATATTGATCATCTTTCGTTGATTCATTATTCTCAGTGGAACATTGAATATTTTTGTTTGAAATTTGATTATCTTTAGCAAAATGTTCAAAATCCATATTTGAAAATTGATTATCTTTGGTAAAAAATTTAGAATCAATATTCAAAGTTTGATTATCATTCGTCGTAGTTTCATTATTTTTAGTCAAAGATTTATTATTATCAATTAAAAATTCATTGCTGTGAATTAAAGACTCATTATTGGTGTCAATAAATTTTTTATTTCTATTAGTATCTTCGTTATTTTCAAAAGATGATTGTTGTTCAATTTCTCCGTCTTTATTTGCAAAATTTTCATTATCTTTATCAATTTCTTTATTATCATTATTTAAATCTTCATTACTTTTAGTTAGTTTTTCATTATCATTATTTACATTTTCATTGATAACATTTTCTTCGTTTAAATCCTCGTCTTCTTTGTCGATAATTTTATTATCATTTTTTAAATTTTCATTTTTTTTATTTATATCTTCTTTATCTGTAGTGACAATTTTATTGATTTCACTATTTTTATTGATATTTTCATTATTTTTGAAAACATTATCATCATCATTACTTTTTTGTATGTCGATTTCGAAATTATCTTTATTTTTTGTTTCATTTTTATCGATATTTTTGTTTTTTTTTGCAATATTACTTGTATTATTTTTATTATCAGCTTCTTTTTCTTCATTGATGTCAATATTATCTTCTTTGTTTACAATAATATCATTCTCGTTATTTATGGAAATATTTACATTTTCTTCTTGTCGATTGTCATCTTCTTTTCTTTGGTTGACATCTTTTTGCTCTTGATTCAAATTTTGGTTATTTTTCCCGAATTCTTCATTATTTGCAATTAAATCGATAATTTTATTAGTGTCTTCTTTGGCTTCTTTAAAATCTTCTTTATCTTTATTGATGTCTTTATCCTCGTTTGATTTTTTATTTGCGATAATTTTATCTTCATTCCTATTGGTATTTTCTGTATTTATGATAATTTTATCCATATCTCCGTTATTGTTTTCTTTATTTTTATTTACATTTTCATTCTTATTTACATCTGCATCTTCATTAGTTGTTTTATTTTTTTCATTTTCTTCATTATTTTCACATCTCCTCTTGTCTTCTGGATCATTATTAATATTTTCATTATCTACACTGATATTCTCTTTAACTTTATTAGTACCATCTGCATTGTTATCATTATTGATATTTTCATTCCTATTGTCTTCAGATTTTTCAAGTTCAATAATTTCAATATCAACAGAATCACTTATTGTCAATGAGCGTTTTTCCAATAAAATTTCCTTCAATTGCGAAATTCCCCGAATTGTCGTTGTTTTCTCCAAATTTTTCAACTCTTTTTTCTCATCATTTTTAATTTCAACACTTGATATTTTTTTCGGCGACAATGTTATTTCAATGACAGTATTTGCTTTTCTTTTTCTTGATTCTTGTGATTTTTTTAATAAAGAATCATTGGCAATTGATTTGACTTGAAGAATTTTTGGCATTGAATCATCATTGGAATTTAAATTCACAGCTTCGGTACGAACATCAACAATCATTGGCATTGATGATGTATCCTCGTCTTGTGTTGTTGTACCTTTTTCAAAAGCTTCACGTCCAATTGTACATGTACTAACAATCATTGGCAAACATTCTTGATTTAATTTCATTTTTATTATTTCACCTTGTATTTCATTAATTAATTCAATATTTGTATATTTTGTTAAAAGATTTAAATGATTTGTAAAAATATGTTCACGAAATTGTTCCATAATAAAACGTGGTGCATGTCGTTTTGTATATGAACAAAATGGACATTTATGAAATATTTGATGTTGAACGCCAACATGTTCAATTAAATGTTTTGTATAATTCTCCTTTAATACAACACAATTACCTATTTTACACATAATTATTTCGATAATTTCAAATTTTACAGGTTCTTTTTCAATTTCTTCTTTATGCTCATTTGTAAAATGATTTTGACATTCATTTTCAAGAAAGAAAATTTCTTTACATTTTGAACAAACATAGCCTCGTTTACTGTGCATTATTAAAAAATGTTTTGTTAACGATTCCAATGATGTTAGACCATCAATACCACAAATTTTACAACCAAAAAACCAATTTTTCATCAATGGATGAAAACAATTGAACCAAATATGTTTTTCAAGTGCATTAAATGTGGTGAATTTAAGAAAACAATCGGTACATTCAAATGGTGCAATTTTTTTATGATAATTTTGATGTGCAATAAAACGTGATTGCGTACCTAAATAAATATTACATTTGTGACAAAAATAAATATAACATTGACAATAATTTGATTCATTAATTGATAATTTGGAAAAACCAATTAAATAATTTTTGGATTTTTTCATTTTTTCACAATTATCACATTTTTCCATTAATTCATTTTCCCAATTATCATGAATTTTATTATCATTATCGTGTTGTATTTCAAATGCTTGTGATATTTGTAAAAATGACATTGTTCCTGATGATGGTGTTTTAGAATTTTCCATATTTTGTGGAATATTTAAAATTTTTGCCTGTTCCACAGAATCGGTTAATTGTCCAATTAAATGTTCATGTTCGTCAATTATTTGATCATCACTAATTTTCATTGCAGTTAAAAATTCCTGACTTATATTATTAATATGATCAATACGTTTTTGTATGTCATTTGTTTTAAGATAGGGTAATGTGTCTAATAAATTTTGTTTATATTTTGTTATATTATTTTTTTTTGTAATACTTGGTAATGCTTCCATTAAATGAAGATATAATCGTGAGGCAATAACACGTATTGACAATAATGATTCATCAGATTCGGATAAATTTTTTAAATTAAAATCAGTTCGTGATTTGACTTTTTCATAGGGTTTTAGTGTTGTTATATCATCGTCGATGGATAATTTTGATTGTAAATCACATGATGATGATGATGATGATGATGAGGAGGAGGATTCAGATGGTGATGTCGATGGTGTTAGAGGTGAATTTAAATTTCCAATTTGTCGAGAAAGAATTCTTGGTTTTGATTTTTTATTATTTGGAATTTCAAATAGATTATTAGAAATTTGTCTTGAATTTGGTTTTAATACACTACTAGCGGGTATTGATGTTGATTTTATTTTATTTGTTTGTTTAATGACAAATTTCTTACCCGATTGATAGAAAATTTTACCATCGTAGGAATTTATTTGCTGTAATTTCATGCCTTGATGTTTTTTCCCAAGGGGAACAATATTTGTTCGTGGTAAAATTTTTGAATCGAGTGATAATAATGCTGGTTTTATTGGTTTTGTTGTATTTTTTACAATTGGCTTTGAAATTACAGTTGATGTTTTATTATTTCGTTGGGGAACATTGACTTTTACACAATTTGCACTCAATGTTGGTCCCGCTGTAATTTGAGGGGAATTTGTTTGATATTGATTTATTTGATTGGAATTTTGTTCGATGAAAACAATTTTTTTACTATTTATAACATCAGGTGGTAATTGACTGATAATTGATGAGATATCAAGACATTTTTCACTGTGAACTGTGAGAATTTTTGCATTTACATTTGTTGATTGTTGTGGTTTTTCGATATTATTGATTGGACATTGAGCCCAATTTGACACAGGTTCGCTGGCAAATTTTTTCACCGATATCTTTGGTCCACTATTGTTGTTTGTATTGCAAGTGCTCACAGTGTAGACATTATTCGAAGTCGAGGTTGAAGTTAAAATCGAAGTCATTGGCGGTTGTGGTGGTGATGATGATGATTGAGATGATTGTTTGATAAATTGTCCAAAAGCATTTCGTCTTCTTCCTAAAGAATCCAATCCATCTTTTGATGATTCTATGGGGGAATTTGTCGTCGTCGTCGTCGTCGTCGGTGATAATAGTTGAAGACTTGTATTCGGTGACAGTGTAATTTGACAATTTGACGGTTGAATTGATGACGATGAGGACAATTGAAGAGATTTATAAACGGAATGACTTGGACCACAATCGACAAATGCAATATCAGCAGGAGGTCGATATGGTGTATGAAAATACTTGACGGAAAGATTATTTGTTATTGGTACCGTAACACTTTGACTGCTATTATTATTATCGTTATTATTATTATTATTATTATTTAAATTGCCAATTGTTGAAATTGTGAGATTAGTTGGTGGAATATTTTTATTAGACGGTTGAGGAATTTTATTGGGGCTTGATGAATTTTTTTTACCCGGAATATCAATAAAATTATTTTCACGAAATGTTTGAATTATTCCAGTGAGATTTGTTTCGGTATGATAATTATTTTTATTTTCAACAACAATTAATGGTGGATCCCACCATTTATTTTCGGCTTTTTGTTCACGTAAAAATTCCATAATATGAATACGATTAAGAAAACCATATTCCATTGTGGCTTTACAGGCTTTTTCTAATTTTGGATAATCTTCTTTTTGAATATCCCATGGTAATGGCATTAGCATTACTTCACCAATTTCCACTGACATAATATTATGTTGACAGAGATGTTGAAAAAAAGTGCATTGATTGTAAAATAATTTAATTACTGCGGCTTTTTGTCCCTTTTTCATGCCCTTTGAACGTAAATAAGCACGACGATTAAATTGCAATGATACGCAATTACTACATGATGGCTGATTGAGTTGTACGTGTTCGCATTTTTCGTTAAAACATGACTGACACCAATAGCCTAATATCCAACTACGACGGGCTGTATGTTCTTCTAAAGTACTCGCGAAACGAAAACTGTAACGGAAGTAATGGCAAATTTTAATAAACAAAGTTGGATTCACACTTTCATTATTGGGGCAAAAAAAAAAAAATTGCAAATTTCTGATCAATTTTTTAAGTTATGTTTAGAGATAGAAACTTTCTGCTTTTTTAAATAAAATTTAAATATTTATATATGTTGAAAATGTTGCTTTTATTGGTATTGGTATTTGCTTTAAATATACTTTACTTAATTTTAAAATAATTTTTTTTTGTTTCTGATAAAAATACGCATTACTTTCCGAATTTTTATTTGACCGAAATTGAAAATGTCCGAAACTTACACACGCCATTAGTATTTAAGAGCGAATTTTAAACATGACCAATTACAAATACGAAGGAAATGTAAATTCTGCTGTTTAAAAATTTCATTGAATTCAAAAATTTCTCCCGATTTTTATTTACGATTTAACTGTGAGCAAAACATTACTTTTATTTAAATATACAGTTGTAAATAATATAAATTGGTCCAAAAATACTATGAAAATTAATATATTTTGATGTCAAATGACCGTTTCAAAATTACTATTTTGTTCCATTCAAAAAAGATAATTATGATTTTTTTTTCCAATTTTTCCATCAAGTCATATTTACGAAATATGATATTTTCAAAATTTGGAGAATTTAAATAATTCTTTATTTTTGAATTCTCATAATTTCCTTAAAAAGGCATCAATTTTAAAAGTTTTTTTTTCAAAATTGTGGGTTTTTAACTGAACTTTTCAATAATTTCATCAAAAAATCATAAAATTAAAATTTACTAGAGTAAGTGCATCAATTACGGCGCGTTCATAAAAAATAATTATTATTACTATTATATTTAATATAACTGTTGCAAAATGATTTTAAAAAATTATTTTAATCTTTTTTTTTTGATACAATTACTAATAAAGATGCATATTTAAACAATTATTAATTTATATTTTTTGAGATCAAATTTTTTTCCTCGCCGTAATTGAAACATTTTTAAGATTTCCATTGGCTTCAATTACGGCGGGCAAAATATCTTCAAAATACACGTAATTTTGGTCACCGTATTTGATACATCGAAACTGATACCGTAAAAAAAAATTACGTTATTAGTTTTAATTTCTTATATTTGTTTAAATAATCAATTTTTGTAAAGTTAAAATTTTTTTTTAATATCTAAATAACATAAGCTTTTAGTTTAATAAGTCTTAAATTGACTTTATACAATAGAAATGTCGAATTTTCTATTTCAAAAGGTGCTTTAACTCGAATCGCGCCGTAATTAGTGCATTTACCTTATATTTTTCGTAATTTAAAAGTTAAAATATTTTTGGAATTATTTAAAATTTTCGAAATTTTGCATTTTTTAAAAATATTTCCGTTTTTTTTTTGTACTACGTATTTTTATGTATTTTGATGTGCTGATTACGAAAATGATAGTAACAATATCCAAAAATTTGATTTTCATAGTGAAAACAATAAAAAAGTCCTAAAATTTTTATTTCTCTTTTTTTTTTGTTTATTGGGTAAAAATATGCAAAATTTTCCAAAATTGCCTAAGATATAAAAAATGTATTTCAATTCAAAATTTCGAAAATTTAAAAAAATTCCGAAAATATTGAAAAAATCGTTTTCTTACGACCAGACTAGACTTAAAATTTTTGTAAATGGTAGAAGTTTTTTTGAAAATTAAAAAAAAAAAAAAAAGAAATCGAAGAATACAAACAGTATTAAAAATAAGATTTTAACGTTTAAATTACAAAACAAATATAGTAAATTTTAATTGTATAAATATTTGCATGAAATTTTTGAAAAGTTGAGTTAAAAACACATATTTTGAAAAAAAAGAAAACTTAAAAGTGATGAATTTATAAGAAAGTTATGAGCATTCAAAAATAAAAAATCATTAAGGGGTGAGACCACTGTGAAATTTTTAAAAAAATCTAAATTTTTTTGCTAAAAAAGTGCCTTAGGGTGTTAGAAATGAGAAACAATAATCAAAAATAAACAAAAAACAAGAAACAATAAACAAAAAAAAAATATTTTTAAAAGCTTTAATTTTACATCCGCGCGGTACCGTATATATGGTTCTGTATATCACAGAAACGTACGTTTTCTCGTTTTTCTTAAAATCAAAGTTTAACAAACTGGCCGGTAACTTTTCTCGTACAATTTTTGACCAAATTAGCTAAAAATTGGTTTACAGCTTCAAGATAACATTCTTTATGAAAGTACGTAGCGTTTTTTTTTTTTTTTTATCAAAAACTCTTTTTTTTATTAACAATTTTGTACCGATTTTTAAACCAAAAAACTCGAAATTTTAATCAAACACGTGCCATTTTCACAAAAATCGGTTTTTTCAAAATCCCCTAGGGTAAATGTCCCAATTACTGTGATGTACAACCCAAGACCACGACTTTAATGATAAAACAATAAAAGTGTAAATGAAATAATGATTTAATTCATTTTGTTAAATCACTATTAGTGTCTATTGAAATAGAAACGATACTTTCAACTTGAAGAAATAACAAATATATTATTAAAAATATTAACTTTTTTAAAAATGTCTTATGCTGGTATTACTGCAAGTTTGCATGAATTACTGCGAATGGTGTGCACCAATTTACTGCAACGCTAAAAGTCTTGATTTAGAGGTTAGGTTGACTGGATAGACACAGTAATAGCAGAATGCGAAAAATATACGCATGCTCTAATTACTGTGATAGGTTCAATTGTAACTTGAATAAATAATTTGATAATAGTCGAAATATGCATCATTAGTGGATATAATATCAAATATCATTTGGAATAAGTTTTAAAGTCATTTTGAAACAGTTTTATGTTCTCAATTACTAAGATTTACTAATTTTATAAAAATCGCAGTAATTGGCGCATCAGCAGTAATTCATACACTTACCCTACGTATTTATGTAGATTTTTAGTTATAAATTAAGAAAAAATATGGTTTTTTGTTCTAAGTCAAAAACTGAAAAAGATTTTCTACCGGCCGTACACCTTTTGCATAAAAAAGAGTTTTTGTCGATCGACTGTCAGCGCCGCCATTTTAATTTTTTTACCTTTTGAAAATAATTTTTTAACTAGTTTAATATGTACTTAACAATAATATATAATTGATTTTTTAATTCATTTTATTCTGTTCTTGAAAAAAAATCTTAAAAATCGCTTTTCCCGGTTAGGTGGCCACCCTAATTAGATTTAGATTAGATTAAGAATATTTAAAACTTTTTCGAGCAAAATTATGCTTTTATGCTTTAGCAGAAAGTTCCTATCACTATAGTTGTTACTAAAATCGTGTTCTAGTCAGAAAATTACAATTTTGTTTTAATACTTAAAACCTTGTGAATATCGTAAAATTTTTTCGATTAATTAATTTAAAAAAAAAATTTTTTTGTTTAAAAATCGGTAAAGCTACAATTAAAATATTAAAGCAATCGGATAAAAATTGGAATGTTTAAGCCCGATAAAAAAAAAATCTTTAAATACTTAAAAAAAAGAAAATTCATTTTAAATATTTAACAAAATTTGAATTTTTTCCGAATTGTATTTATAAGAAATAATTGAAACAAAGTTTAGATCAACTTGATATTTTTCACTAAAATTAATTTCTTTTAAAAATTATCAAAAATAGTTTTTTTATTTTTGAGGTTATGGTTATTGCGAGCATAAAAATTGAACACTCATAAAAAAAATTATATTATGAAAAAAAGAATATCTTACCTATCTTTACATTGTTGACAAACATGAAATGTTTCCGATTCATTATTGGACAATCTCAATGATTCTGGAGTAACTTGAGGTAAAAATGGAGTGTATGGAATTTCAAATACAGCTTCTCTTACACTATGATAATAAGCAGGACCAAAAGTATGAGCTGTTTTATTACTTTTTCTTAAAATTGGAAGGAAATTTGGAATATTTCGTTTTTCCTTCTTCTTTTGAGTTGAAGAATCATTATCCGAATTACCGGATGAATTATTCTTTGACGTTTGTTTACCGGTTGACACTGAGGTATTCTGAATGAAAAAAAAAAGTTCATATATATTTCAAGATTAGATAAAAATTAAATACTTAATTAAAAGAAAAAGGTAACAATATGTTGTTTTTCAAAATCAAATTTTAAAATTGAAATTATTTTCCTCAAAAAGTCCTTTAATTTACATATTACTTTTCTTTTTAAAATTTAAATTTTCACTTACCATTTTGACGAGTATTTGTTGTTTATTAGAGGAATTACCTCTGGGAAAAAGTACCGTTCATCATTTTTTTTTTATTTTTATAATTTTCCCCAAAAAATCTGGATAACTGTAAACAAAAGACAAATTATTTTTTCTTTCAATTTAGAAACATAATAAGATGACAATAAGAACATTAAAATAAAAATTTAATATGAAACTCACCAAATCCAGATTTTCTTTCTTTTTTTTAAAAAAAGAAAATAGAATAATATTTTCCTTTTGTAGTTTTACTGAAAATAATATAAAGCGTATAAAGCCATTACACCATCACAAGAAAAGTATATACAAGACAAACTCTTTTTTTATATTGAACGTAAGAGTAAAATTTTAACACCCGGTATAATAAATAAACACAAATATAACGTGTGTCTTTATAAAGATTAAAAAAATCTCTTTTAATAACATCAAATTGTTATAAATATTACCTGATTATTGTAAAATTGTGTTTAATTTAATTTTTGTATTTTTCACATTTATCAATGTTACACCTCTCTCTCACACACTATAACCTCCTATGACGTATAAACTACAGAGTGCGCCACCACTGTTACCATTTCCGGTTTAGAAAAATTTTCCAACCGACTATAGCGCTCTCACCCCAATCCAATAGTAGTGTCATTATCAAATGATTTTTTTTTTATAGGAATTAAATAATAAACAAAGTCAAGGATAAAAAATTATTTATTTATTTGAAAAAAATGAATGTGTAAATAATTTACAAATATGAATCATTGTAATATTATTAATATTGGAACATTTATTTTTAAATTAATTTACAAACTATAATTGCAGTTTAATTAATAGGTACAATTATTTAAATTATAACAATTATTTATTATTACTATTAACGATTATAGTGCTTTTTTTCAATTTATTTTCTAGTTATTACATAAAAATAGAGCACAGTAATAATAAAAATCCGATAAAATTTGTGTTTAAAGTCAAAATTTTGATCGACTTCCGGTGAATGTTTTGTGAACTAATTTCACACACCTTAATTTTTATATACATATATATATATATATTTTTTACATGCAATGAAATATTAAATTAAAATGAATATAGAATCTCTTACTCTTGAAATTATAAACTATTATTAATTACTGAATTTAATTACATTGAAAAAATAGTAAAATATTTTCGGTTTGTTATTAGTCAAGTTTTTCTTTTTGATATGAACATTATTATCAAATGGCTTTTAGAAGATTCCTCTCTTTTTTTTATAATTGTTTAACAATTACACTGAAAAAAAAATATACACAAAATTTGCATTTTATTTCTGTAATTTTTACCTTAGTACAAAAGCAATGCAAGCGAGGCAATTTTTACTGGAAAAAGAGGTTAATTTTTACTTTCAAAAAAAAATGTAATTTTGATCAAAACTAATGTTAAAATTAATCTTTTTTTCAATAACAATTGCCGTGCTTAACAATGCTTTTGTTTTAAGGTAAAAATTACTGAAATAAAAAACAGATTTTAATTTTTTTTTCAGTGTAAGCAAAAAAAAAAAAAAATAAATAAATTTCTGTAGGTAAATCTTTCTTTTTTCTAAGAAAAGAAAGATTTTTAAAAATCGAAATATTTTTGATTCTTACATTCAGTTTTTTACTTCTCCTTATTTTGCTTATGGCAAGATCTTGAATTTATAAATTCTTCTAGCAGTATTTACAATTGAATCCAATTGAGACAAACACAGTCTTCTTTATCTTTCTCCATGCGTTGTTTTTATTTTTTTAATTAATTGAATCCAATTTTTATATCTCGCCGTATTCATGATAATTTTTATCTTCGCCTCATATTCCGCTCTTGGAATGGAAAAATATCTATACACAGCATCTAAAAAAAAAATTTATATGTATTTTTTAAAAATAATTAATTTTTAAAACTAAATTCACGAAAAATATTTTAAGAATAATAACTAAACTATTCAATAATAAATAAATCATTTTTTTTGTAATTTTTAAAATATTAAATAAACATATTCTAATAATTTAAGAAATATTTGAAGGGTGGAATGAAAAAAGGGGACAAGCGCCAATTTTTCGAAATTGAGATTTTTTCATTAAAAAAAAAATAAAGTAAATTCATTTACACATTTCTGTAGAAGGATTTTCTCCTTTTTTATTGCGTTTTTAATAAATAATATTAAAATCATAAAATAGCATCAAATTTAATTCATTACAATTCGATTGAGAAACAAAAGAAAATTGTAAGTCAACAATATTATGAATTATTATATTATTTTGTTATTAGTTTTTAACTATTTTTATAATTATAATAATTGTTAATAATTAAATTTAAAAATGAGATATTGCTGGATTGCAAAGCAAGAACTTAAATCATAGTTTTTTTTTTTTTTGAAAACCAACAACTTAAACAATATTAGATTAATTCTAAACAAGAACCAATAATTCTTTTTAACACACGGAAAGAAAATAAATATCAAATTTTATAAAAGCATTTTCAAATTTTGTAATAGTATTTTCAAGTCGTGAAAAATATTGTAAAAAGCGAAATTTCCATATAAAAAATACTAATCTTTAATATAATTTTTAGAAATTTACTATAGTTATAATAAAATTTGGTAGATTATATTTGATTCATTATTAAATGATACCAAATTTTATTATAACTATAATAAATTTCATAAAAATTTATTAAAGATTAGTATTTCTTATATGGAAATTTCGCTTTTTACAATATTTTCCATAACTTGAAAATACTTTTACAAAATTTGAAAATACTTTTATATAATTTGATATTTATTTTCTTTCCGTGTGCACTTTTAATTATTCTATGATTTTTATATATATTTTCTATAATTTAAAATTTTTTGTTTATGGTGTAATAATTATTTTTCAAATTTTATTGAGAGTATCACGTTTTGAAAACGAATTAAAAAATTTCAATTATTAATTTCTATAAGACAATGTTAATTGAAAATAAATGATTAACTCACACATGACTTGTATGTTTCATCGTTCAGATTATTAAATTGTATAAATCCTCTTCTATGGTGGAGATTGAAAAGACAGATACATTAGTATTTTATTTAAGAGATGTGTAACTAAATAAAATTGATTCAACATTATCCAAATGTTGGTTAATTTTTCTGAAAAAAAATAATCTTCAACAATTATTGTTTTGAAAGAAAGAAAATATCTTAAAAAGAAAAAAAAATTACCTCAACTCTGCTAATATCTCTGTATGAATATCTTGCACTTTTTCTTCAAATTTTGCTAGAAAAAATTATTAAAATTCTCCCAATTATGATAGAATTTATTTAAAAACGTTTTAAATTTAAAAAAAACATTTTTATATAAATAATTTATTAAAAAATTTTCTCCCTTAAAATTAACTTTAAAATTCTCGAAATAACAAAATATATTTATCATTTTTTGAAATTTTACTTCTCATATTTAAAAACATTCTTTTATTAAAATTTTTCAAAAAAGATACATTCATCTAAAAATTTAATTATAACCTTTTTTTTTGTAGTTTATGTATATATTATATAGAAAATTTAATACAATTTAAAGGAATTTAAATTGGAATATTCTATTATAAAAAAATAAAACTTACTGTCCCTTCTTTAATATCAATTTCCGTGATTTCATCTTTCTATATTACAATTTTTTCTAATTGCTCTATAATTTTGAAACTACAGCAATCAATTGTTTAGATTTTGTCATTCTACTATAACTTAAAATTTACCTTATATATATCTTCAATATTTTCGAAAAACTCAATTTAATATCATCCAAAATTGTTGTCAATATTTTTCCAAAATAGCAAAGTAAAAATCATTTGTTTGTTTACTCTGATAATTATAGGTTATGTCATGTGTCAATGATTTTTTTTTTTTTTGTTTCCTTTTCAGAACGGAACTGAAACGAATCACGTGATCGAAAGACAATTCAATTGGCTAATATTAAGAAATTGTCCAAATTATTGAGACGCATGCGCAATTAGCAGAGCTTCCTGCTGACGGCTGCTGACTCCACAAAATGGCTGCCAAAGTCTCCGGTCGAAAGTGAATTTCAAGTTTTTTTTTTCATTTTTACGAATTGAAAAGTGAATTTTAACTATTTTGTCCTTTTGAATGAGTTTCATTAATATTTTAAAGTTTTTATTTTCTTAGTATTTTAAATAAAAACACGTGAAGTTAAAAATAAAAGATTTAGCAGGCAAAGTAACAACATTGCTCCAAAAAAAAGATAGAGGAGGTTTTTTGAAAAAGAGAAGCGTGCCGAAAAAAAAGAAAAGAATAACCACGCTATGAATCAATCGCGAAATTTTACATCTCTTTTAAATCCGGGCTATATACGTGATGCAGCAGCTGCTGCGGCTGCTGCAGCCGCTGCTGTATCCCAGGCAATTGCTAATTCAACATCTAGGAAGCGTGAAGTCGAAGGTAATAAAAAAAAAAAAAAAAAAAAAAAAAAATTCTTATACAAAAAAAATTAGCAACGATCAATAACAAATAATTCACGAAAGTTTTTATCAAAATTATTTTTAATTTCGATTAAATTTTTACACATTTATCGTGAATTTTGTACTCTTCATAACCTCTTTAACTTGGAAAGTTACAATTACAATTTTTCTATAATATTTAATTGGAAATTTTCTTTCTTGAGGTGATGGCAATCAGGAAAAAGAATCAAAGGAAGAGCGTAGAAAAAAAAGGAAATCAAGATGGGGTGGTAGTGAACATGACAAAACTTTTATTCCTGGAATGCCAACAGTTTTGCCAACCAATCTTACACCTGAACAGGAGCAAGCATACCTCTGTAAGTTTAGATCTATTCTAAATTTTCTATATTAAAAATAAGCGCTTTACTCCTCATCTATAAGAAAATGTATATATAAAATTTATCGAATTTCATTTCTGTGTATAATTTCATTAAAATCTTAATTGATAACGTAGATATCAATAAAAGAGATGTAAGTATATATTTTTAATAAAAAAAAAATAAATAAAATTCACTGGTCATCGAAGGTAAGAAAACAAAATTAATGAAAAAAAAAAATTATCTATTTAATTTTTAATTGTAAATTTATTTACAAAAAAAAAATTTTTATTAAAATCGTAAATTTTTCAGAAAAATGCAATTTTCTTCATTTATTTTTGTTTCTTTGTTATTTCAAAAAAATAAATAAATAAATGAAGAAAAAAAATATTTTACTTTTTGTTGAAAAAATCTTGTACACATCTTTAACAAAATTGATAAATCATCTAACTGTTGGGGTTTCCGCCCCCTCTAACCCGTTGGTTTACAGTTCAGCTGCAGATTGAGGAAATCAGCAGGAAACTACGCACTGGAGATCTTGGAATACCGCTTAACCCTGAGGAAAGGTTTGAACGATACTTAAGTACCAAAAAAAAAAAAAAAAAATTAATGAACATAACATATTCATCAATTCTACCTACACAGCCTTCTGCTCAAGGGCTTTAAAAGAATTCTCTAAATATAAATGATAAAAAAAAGAAAATTGGCTACGTCTAACTTAGTGGAATACCGATGCTCTGAATAAGGCGGCTTTTATCCATGCCGTGCTCTCTCTCTCTCTCTTTCTCTCTCCCACATCACAGAAGCTGAATTTTGATAATATTGGTTTGATCTAATCAATTTCTTTTTTAACTAATTCTTCACTACTATTGCTAATCATTGCTAATCAATTTATTATCAAGAAAATAATTTTATCTTTATAAATTTATTTACAATTCGAAAAATAAAACAATTGAATATTATTGGAGAACTTAAAAATTACTTAAATAATTTTTAATAAAAATAAAAAAGATTACAATAACGATTAGCAATGTTTAACAAATAATAGTTATTTTTTCCCTATATAATGTTTATTATAATAAAATTTTTCTCAGATGCGTGAAACTTTTTTTTTTTTCCTTTTTTTTGCAAAAACAAAGAGATTTCTGATAAAAGTAAATTCTGCTAAAAAAAGCAGAATCGATAGAAAAAAACAATTATACTTTATGCATATTGAATGCAAATCGGTTTCGTCCAAGAATAGAAAATTTAGTTTTTCAAGGTAGTCACAAGTCGGGGAAAATTTGGAAAATTGAACAAATTTACAGAAAAATTCAATGTATATACTTCCTTTCTGCTTAAAAAATTTTAACAATTTTTGCCTCTAAAAAATAAATGTAATCAGCTATTTAAAAAATTTTGTCACCTATTGTGATAATTTCGTATTTTTTTCATCTTTCGCATGATTCGATTAATTTGCGAATGTATTTAAAAAATAATTCAATTCAAATTGTAAAAATATGGATTTAACCTCAGGAATGTTGAAAAATAATTTATTGGTTTAAAAACAATTTTTTTTAATAATCCTTGAACTTATATTAATTTAGAAAACACAAAATGATAGATTTTTTATTTTTTTTCTATAAATAATTCTGTTGATTCAATTGTTGAATTTATCAAAATTTTACATGAGCCAAAAGTTTTGAAAGTTCATATGAACGAAATTTTTTTTTGCAACTTCTTTAAATACGAATTTTATTACAAAATATTGTTTTAAATATCTAAAAAAGAAGTTATTAATTTAATAATTCTTTAGTTTACTGTTTTATTTTACATTGCCATCATAATTTTTAATAATTTATATAAATATTTCGTTTATTTGAAGGTTCAGAACTTTTGGCTCATAATTTTTCATCGATTTAAAAATTATTTAGGACAAATTTCAATAAAATTGAATTTAAATTAGTTGAAATATTTATTGATTAAAATTGTAATTGATCTAAATTTAAATTCATTTTTATTCTAATCAATCATTAATTCAATCAATCAAAAATTCAATTTATCGAAATTTTAATGTGTTTAAATTTTGATTCATGAAAATGTCAATTTAATTAAATTTTATTCAATTCAAATTTCAATCAATTCTAATTTTTATTGGTGAAAACAAATTTATTAATTAAAATTTTAATCAAATAGAAATTCAGTCGATCGCAACTTAAAATTAACGAAATTTCGATCTATCTAAAGATTATTTGATTTAATTTTCAAATTATCTGAATATTAATTTATTCATATTTTCATTATTTTCAGTTAAAAATTATTCAAATTTGAATTTATCTAAATTTTATTTGCTTCAACTTTCAAATTTTCCAAAAATTTTATTTTTTAATGCTTCAATTATTCATGAAAAATCTTTATCTTTTTTTTTTGTCATTTATTGTCAATAAATAATTCACCATTTTATTTATTTTCAAGAAAAAAAATACTGTAATCCCTATGAAATATAATAGAAAAACACAGTTTTTCCAACTTCCAATTATTAATTTTCTATTATATAATTCATTAAATTTAATAAAAAAAAAATTCCATGTTAGAGAATTTGAAAAATTTAGTCTTGTGGCAACCCTTGTTTTTTTCATAAAAAGGATGACCAATTTGTTTACAGTGCAAAAAGTGTAAAAATCATTCGCATTTAATAACGGTTAATTTTTCAGTTTCATTTTCCCCGGACTAATAATAAAAAAATTTTCCCGCGCAAATTACAGGACAATAATTATAATATATTAAAAAATTCAAATTTATAATATATTTAAAAAATTTTTTCATAATATACTAATCGCATTGCTGTATAGAACGATTTAACGTTACTTTCAGGTGTATTTAAATAATAATCATTTTCGAATAATATAATAATCAAATTTTAATGAAACGATTTACTTTCCAACAGGTTTAACCTGTTCAGTATTAACTGAACTTATTTATACGACTATTGTATTTATAAAATTGACATCCGCAATAATATTTATTTATAATAATAATAATAATTAATTAGAGATATTGATGACTAATGAAAAGAAATTATTATTTCCTAATAATCACAGGGTTTATCTCTTAGCAGCTGACGTCATTGTCCAATTCTGCCGTGCACAAACGAGCAGTCTTCGAGTGGTTACCTTCAATAAAAATTATTAATAAATGAAAAAAAAAAAAAAAAAAAAAAACTTTGCACTGTGCACTTACAGCAGAGCGATTCGTTACTTTGTGTTACAAAGGCAATCTTGGAAAAATAAACAACTTTTACTATATATTCAGAATTGGTTTTTCCGCAAAGAGAGATTGCCCGTGTTTAAAGATAATTATTTAGAAAAATAAAAAAATATAACTAGGAGAGAGAACCCTAATATTTATTAATCAGAATAATTTTTTTCTATTTTACATTCGAATAATAAACAGCTTCTTTTAGGATTAATTATTTCTAACAAATTTTTAAAAAACATTTCTTTCCCGATTTAGTTTCTTATTGAACGCGGACTATATTTAATTCAGAAATTTCATTCTAATACTGAGCATTTAAATATTTAGAAAAAAAGAAAAAGTTTAGAGATTTACTTTCCATTCAGAGAGTTGGCAAAATTATTTTTTCAATGAAATAAAAATTATATAATTACTTATTTTTGCAGTAAAATAAATTTTTTTATTATAAAAATATTTGTAAATAGATAATAAAAAAAAATTTGGTTTTAAGAAAATTTTACCAACTCTGTGAAATATAGTTAATCAGGTTGCTTGTATGCTAGTACCATCTTTTTGCAGGCAATTTTAATGTAAGTTTTGTATATTTTTTTTTCAGATCACCATCACCTGAGCCGATTTACAGTAGTGATGGGAAACGGTTAAATACACGTGAATATCGTACAAGACGTAAATTGGAAGAAGAACGTCATAATCTCATTCAGAAAATTCTCAAACTCAATCCGGAATTTAAACCACCACCAGATTATAAGTAAGTTTAGAAGAGAATAATACTACGAAGCTGAAGTACGCAACGTTTATGATAAACGATTTTTAAAGAAATAATTTTTTAAAATGAAAAATTTAATAATTCTTTGCTTAAAAAATATTTCTTGTAGTTTTCATTAATCAACAAATTATAAGAAAAATATTTTTTAGGCAAAAAATTATAAAATTTTTCATTTTAAAAATTATTTCTTATAAACATCGTTTATCATAAACGTTGCGTACTTCAGCTTCGTATAATACTTTTAATTATATATAATAATAAAATGCTTGGTCTGTCCTTCTGTCCTAACTTGAAGTTGGCCTTTTCTGATTTCACGTGTTTTTTTTTTAATAGTAATCTTATGACGTGTCAAATTTTGACAATTCTTTTTCTCATTTTTGCCAAAGTTGTATAATTGTGTTTCCAAATTTCGTAATAAGTTTCTTTAAAATTTCAAATTCGAAAATTCAATTCGCGAAGCTGAAGTACACAACGTTTACCAACGAAATTTTTTTTAAAGTTGTATATTGATTCAAAAATTGTATACAAATACAAAAAATTTATGATGAGAAAAAATATGCGCCAGGAAATTTCGTACAAGATAGTAATTTGAAAAAAATTTATTTTTAAAAATTAATTTTTAAGGTACCAGGGGCCAACGAATACCTATTAAATATTAATTATAAAAACACAGGCCTCAAATCAACTTAAAGACACAAAAAGTCGGTTTAGTCGATTTATATTCCAAAAAAAGTGGATTTGTTTTTTATTTTAACAAAAATATTTTACAGATTTTTAAATAAAATTTTTTTTTTAAATAATAATCCTTTTCGAAGGGTTAAAGTTGAAATTTTTAGAAATAATTAAATTTCAAAAGATATTGTTAATTTTCAAACAATTATTAAATTTTACAGAACTAAAAATAATTTATCAAACAATTTTTGGAAAACATTTTTTAAATTTAATTGAATTTTCAAAGATTTAAAATTGAGATTTTTGAAATTAATTGAAACTTTAAGTGATTTTTAATTAAAATTTTAGATGATTTCACTAAAAATTTATTAGAAAATGCGGACAAAATACAATAATTTGAAAATCATTTTTAATTGAAAAATGGTTTCAGATAGTTGAATTTTCAAAGAATATTATTAAAATAGTTAAAAATAATTGAATTTCCTTAGAGTTATAATTGAAATTATTAAATTTTAGAAAAAAAATTTTCGATGGAAAATTTTAGAAATAATTAAATTTTAGATGCTTTTAAATTCAAATTATTGAAAATTCAATTAATTTTGAATTCAAATTTTTGAGAATAATTAAATTTTATTTGATTTTAAATTTGGAAAATAATTGAATTTCAGTTCATTTTGAATTGAAAATTTTGGGAAATAATTGAATTTGAATTGAAATTTTGGATAATAATTGAATTTAGGTTCATTATTGATTAAAAATTTGGATAATTAATTTTGAATAGAAATTTTAGAAAATAATTGAATTTTATTTCATTTTAAATTGAAAACTTGGTAAATAATAAAATTTTAAATTGAAAATTTTGGATAATTATTGAATTTTAATTGATTTTGAATTAAAATTTCGGGTAATAAGTGAATTTTAGTTTATTTTGAATTGAAATTTTTAAAAAATAATTCAATTTTATTGTGATATTTTCTTTTAAATTATAAACAATTGTTAAATTTCGTAAAAATTTTAATAGAAAAATAATTTTGATATAATTGAATTTGTGATGTATTTAATTAAAATTATTAAAAATAATTAATTTAGTGAAGAATCATTTTAGTTCAAAATTTGTTAAATAATTGAATTAGAGAAGATCTGAAGAAGATCTACATTTTATACTAAAAAAATTTATTTTATTTAGATTTTTTTTCAAATGTAAAAAAAAAATGTCGCATTTTATTAAAATAAGTCGATAAAAGTCGTGTAAAGTGTAAAGAAAATCAAAAAATTCATCGCAAGTTCTTTATATTTATTAAGTTTTTATTTAATTCAATAATTTCACTTTTTTATAATTAATGAGTAAGAATCATAAAATTTGTTTATTTATGTTATACACTTTAAATTAATACTTTAAAATAAAGAACACAAATTTTAATAAAATTCTTTTCATTTTGTTATCTTGATATTTTCAAAATTATTCGTAAAAATTATTATAATTTTTTAGAATTAGTTGTTAACAACTTTAGTTAAAATATTTATTTATTTAAAAATATAATGAAATGTTTCTATTATGAAAATAAGTGATTGAAGATATTATTAAAGGAGTTTTTTTCGTTTTTAAATTTACAGGCCACCAATTATTCGTGTGCACGATAAAGTAATGATTCCTCAAGAAGAACATCCTGACATTAATTTTGTTGGTTTGTTAATTGGACCACGTGGAAATACTTTGAAATGTGAGTTTTTATTTCATTTATTAATATTAACAGAAAAAGTTTCTTACATCTAATAATTAATTGAGACGCATTCAGTTGGATATCGAAAAACGAAACTTTTATAAAACTCGAGGGAAATATTCGCTTAATAAGCACAATCAAATTAATAATATTAAATATTTCACTGATTTCACATCTCATAAAGTGGAATAATTTCAAAATTTTACATTTTGAATCCAATTTTTATAAACGTTTAGTTGTTGAAATGATTTTTTTTTTAAAAAAGTGAAAATAATTTAAATAAAATAACTAATATACATAAATTTGATAATTGTTAATATGTTATTTTGTTTTTATATAATTAATTATTCTTTATTCAATGTTAATTTTTATTTAAACTTATTAAGATTACGATAAACGTTAAAGAAAATTTTGAAATATTAAACTACTTGTTCAAATAATATATTTCTATTTTAAATAAATAAATATTTTATAAAAATGTAGAAAATAATAAATGAAACACACGTGTTTGTTTCTCTATTTTCTTAGCAATGGAAAAAGAAACAGGCGCAAAAATTATAATTCGTGGCAAAGGAAGTGTAAAAGAGGGTAAAGTTGGACGAAAAGATGGTCAACCTTTGCCAGGTGAAGATGAACCTTTACACGCATATATCACTGCAAATAATTTAGATGCCGTGAAAAAAGCAGTCGAAAGAGTAAGAACATACATTTTTCCTTTTTTGTCAAACACCCAAGAATTTTTTTTTTGTCGTTAAAACAAAAAACATGATTTTCTTTTTTACAGATACATGAAATTATTCGACAAGGCGTTGAAGTACCAGAGGGACAAAATGATTTGCGTCGCAATCAATTGAGAGAATTAGCATTGTTGAATGGAACTTTAAGGGAAAATGACGGTCCACGTTGCACAAATTGCGGAGCTTCTGATCATAAATCGTGGCTGGTTCGTAAATTATATTTAAATAACATTCAAACTCATAAAAAAAAAAGTTTTAAAAAATTGTCTGTAAAAAATATTAAAAATAGTATCTAATAGATTAATTATAATTACAAAATAAATAAATAATAGAAAAATAATCTATATTGAATTCATTTTTAGCTTTTTTTATTTTTTGAAATCATGTACTTGGAAATAATAATAATAAAAAATTTTTTTTTTTTTTTACAGTGTCCCGATAAGCCAAACGTGACCAACAATATTGTGTGCTCAAGTTGTGGAGGTGCGGGTCATATTGCAAGAGATTGTAGATCTAAACGTCCCGGAATGGGTGGTCCAGCTGCTGCAGGATTAGCACAAGCAGGCGATAAAGCAAAAATTGACGAGGAATATATGTCACTGATGGCCGAATTGGGAGAAGGTCCACCACCAGACAGATCGAAAACAGCTCAAAGACCAAATAATTCTATTCCAAGTACAAATTATCCTGGCCTCTTTGACAGGTATTTAATTTTTTATTCACTATATCAAATTAAATAACAAAATAAAAGAAAATAAAAAAAATGTTCACAAAGAAGAACAATAAAAGAAAACGAAAAAAATTTATTCAGAGTGGCCTTGAAAATTCAACATTGAAATGTTTTTAAAAATTCATATTTTGATTTTCTTTCAAATTGAAACTTGTGATGAATGAAAAATGAAGAATTTGTGAAAAGAAATTTTATAACTGATTGATTAAAAAAAATACGAATTATAAAAATTAAAAATTTTGCTAAACAAAATGCTAGGAAAACTCTAAATTTTTCTGAATTATTTATATAATATAAATATATAATAATAATAATAATAATAATAGTTGAAATTTATTACTTGGTAAATAAATATAGGATTTGAGATGAAAATTATTATCAATTCTCCAAGAGAAGGTAAATTAAAAATGTTGAATTAATTTCTATGGTAAATTTAGGCAACAAGCTCCAAGGGCACTTATGGCAGCACCAGCTCATCCTCCACCTCAAATGATGCAAGGAGGTCCGATGATGCCTCCACCTGGAATGGCACCACCACCACCACCTTGGTCGCAAGGCGATGTCAATAATATGAATGGTATGGGTATGCAGTGGCAACCACCAGTCAGCATGCCACCTCCACCGGGAGTTATGCAACCACCACCACCTCCTCCTGGCTCTACCAGTCAACCAAATATTCCACCTCTTATGCCTTGGATGCCAGGTATTGTTTTTAACTGTCTTTTTTATTTTACATTTATCCACTTTTTTTTCAATCACATTTTTCTTGATAATTTCTGATTTGCGCAATTTTAATAATCGCGACGAAATTTTTTTGTTTTATTATTCTAAAATAATCAAAAATTAAAATTTTCTTTTTTTTTCAACACCCATTATGTTAGTCCCAAATTATACAAGAAAAAAAAGTATGATTTCCTTGAATAATTAAAAAATTTTAAAGTAACCCTTAAAGTAACTGTGCTGAACACAAAATTTATTTTTATACCAGGCTTCAAAGTGACACACTTTTTTACTTTTTTTTGTACTTTTTTTTGACAAGGCTACTTTTTTTCTACTAATTTTGGCCAAAAGCCACTGAATGCTACTTTTTTCAAAAAAATAATTTTAAAAATGATAAAATTTAAGAATTTTAAATTTTAGCGAATTTTTTTATTCCTAAAAGTTTGCTAAGTTGATGATTTATTATTGGCCGCGTGAACTACTGCTTTATATAATTATTTTTTACACAGTGGCTACAAAATACACAGTTTTTTTTCATTTTTCAAAATAGCATTTAACATAATTTTTAATTTGACAATTTTTTTCTAACAAAATTTTTATTTTACAAAATTTTTCTTTACCCAACTGTTTTTTTTTAAATAATTCTAATTTAACCGATATTCAGACAATAATTGAATTTTATAGTATTTTGAATTGAAAAATGTTTTATTAAATAATTGAAATGCCAAGATCTTGATTAAAGTTATTAGAAATAATTATTGCAATAAAAAATTTGAATCAAAATTTTTAATAATAATTGAATTTTAGGAGATTTTGAATTAAAATTTTATTAAATTAGAATTGCTGAAAATTATTAACAAAGTTTCAAACAGTCATTGAATTTTAGAAAAATTTTTAATTAAAAACTGTTTTATTTAATTGAGTTTTTGAATAATTAGATAAAGTTTATTGAAATTATTAATTTAGCAAAAAATTTTAGAATTTTAGAAATAATTGAATTTTAAAAGAGTTTGAGTTAATTAGAAATAATTGAATTTTTGGAGATTTTTAATTAAAATTGTTGTTTTAAAAATATTATATTTATAAGTTTCCGATTTCATGTTCTAGGATTTCAAAATTCGAATTACTTAAAATTCTACTGAATGTGAATTTTAATAAATTAAAAATATGTTTAATTAGAATTCTCTTTAAGAAACAGTTGGGTAAAGAGAAATTTTGTAAAATAAAAATTCTGTCAAAATAAAAAATTGTTACTTTGAAAATTCCGTTTGAGTAAATATTCGTTCAAAAAAAAAAATTCTGTGTTGTTAATATTTATATTTATTATATTATAGTAAAATATTTAGTGTGTGTATTGGAATAATGTTAATGTCACTTTGTGAAAAAAAATTTTTTTTAGCTGAGATTTAAAATAGTGACGTATTTTCTGTGTTATTATCGTAAAAAAATAAAAAATTGCAAAAAATTGCAAAAATCGATTTTTCTTTTCCAACAATATTAGTGTCAATATTTTGTGTCACGAAATCAAATAAAATATATATATACAAAATTTTATAAAATAAAAATTTATGAGAAAAATCAGTTTTATGGAATAATAATACGTTCCCCTACCGTTGTGCCAAAAACAAAAATTTAATCGAAATTTAACAATAGATAGTTTTTTTTTTAAATAATCAAGAGAAAAATAATGTTAATTTTATTCCTCAGAATTTTTCTTACAATTTTTTTAGACTAGAAAAAATTTACATTTTAACGTTAAACTTAGAAAACTAATTTTACTTCATTTTAATGATGCCACTTTTTTGATACTTTTTTCAATTTTGGAGATACTTTTTATAAAAAAAAATATTTTCATAGTTTCTACATGGAAACGTAAAAGAATTTTTTTCTTTTTCTTGAAAAAGAAAAATTATTTTGCAACCTTGAGAAACCTTGAAAAGTCCTTGTATTTTTTTTTCTTCAAGAATCGCTGGACCCCCAGAAATTAGATTACAACGACTTTTTTCCAGTTTGATCTCTAGTAAAAAAAGAAAAAAAATATATATATGGGGCATTCTATTTTAAAATTATACCCCTAGTAAACAATTGACAATATAAGACATTTTTTAAATAATTATTTCTCCCATTTAATTAAATCAAATTACTTTTGCAATGAGTGGTTTCGAAAGAGAAATTTCTAAACTTTATTATTGTAAAAAAAATTTAAAAAAAAAACGTTTAATTAGCATAAAAAATTTAGTTTGAAGGTTAAACTTATAAATATCTCAAAACACGTTGTCTCCGATTTTGACAAAATCTATGTCAAAAGAAAGCTTAAATATTCTATTTTTTATTTCCGTAAAGTTTATAATGGACATTTTCGAGAATTTCCAGAAATTAATTAAAATTCTCAGACGTTTCGGGGGTTAAAAAGGATTGAAATTTGTGTGAATGGAGAACCATTTCTTTAAGAGCGGATTTTGTTTTTTAAATTTAATTTCTATTAACCTTACATTATTACATCACTTGACATTAGAGAAAAAAAATATTGTAAACAATAAATATATTGATCTTTAGCTATTTGCAATTAAAAATTTTTCAAATTTAAAAAAATTATTAAGATTAAAATTGAAGTTTTAAAATTTATTTATTTAAAAATTTCGTAAAAACAAATGCCGCTGTATTTGAACAGAGGTTCTCTATTCATGCAAATTTCAACCCTTTTTAACCTTTGAAACGTCTGAGAATTTTAATTAATTTCTCGAAATCCTCGAAAATGTCCATTATAAACTTTACGGAAATAAAAAATAGAATATTTAAGCTTTCTTTTGACACAGATTTTGTCAAAATCGGAGACAACGTGTTTTGAGATATTTATAAGTTTAACCTTCAAACTAAATTTTTTATGCTAATTAAACGTTTTTTTTTTAAATTTTTTTTACAATAATAAAGTTTAGAAATTTCTCTTTCGAAACCACTCATTGCAAAAGTAATTTAATTTAATTAAATGGGAGAAATAATTATTTAAAAAATGTCTTATATTGTCAATTGTTTACTAGGGGTATAATTTTAAAATAGAATGCCCCATATATATAATATATATACTATTAGAGGGAAAAAAATAAGTTTTTCTCGAATTGAACAATTTTACCTTTCTCCCTCAGCCAATTTCCAAGCACCAGGAAATAATCAACCACCGCCTCCTGGACAAATGCCACCAACTCAAATGCCACCACCTGGAATGGGAATTCCACCTTGGCAACAAAATCAACAACAACCAATGCGACCACCTCCACCGGGAACGGCTCCTCCACCAGGATTTGCACCTTGGCAACCACCTCAAATGCAAGGTTGGCCTCCCGCAGCACCAGTTCCACCACCACCACAACAACAAACACCCGCACCACCTGGTATCGATCTTAATTCATTGCCCACTTTACTCGCTCAACCACCACCACCGCCACCTCCAACAAGTTAGTTGAATCTTGCCTTATAGAAAAAGAAAAAAAAACAACAACAACTTGAATTTGGCAAAAAAAAAAACAACTGATGAATAAGAAAACAAATGACAGCATAAATGGCCTTGCGATGCCAAAAATTTCTCAAATATGCCTTCAAGAAGACGGCAATGGTTAAGTAATGAACGCAAAACGTAGAGAATAGACGCAAGAAAATTACTCAAGACATTTTCTTTATACTGATTATTTCATTATTATTGAAATTTTGACAGTGCATAAATTTTTTTTTTTTTAATTGTACAAATAGACTGGAAAATATTGAAAATTTGATATATATAGGTATATCTCTCTCCTATAATTTTCGTACATTCAAATTTTACTAATGTACAATATTCAAATTAAATTAAAGAAATTAGGAAAATATTGGAAAATACTTTCAGCGATTAATATAAGAAAATTTAATCTCTTAGTAAAAAAAAAAAATACTTTCAAGTTATGTGAACACCGTTTACTGTTATTAGTTATATTTATCTGAAAATCTCTTTTTTTTTTTACTGTGAAAATATTTTCAGTAATTTTATGTGAAAATTCAATTATTTTGCTTTATTTACAACAATGATATATCTATATTTGTGAGATGAATCAATTCCAATAAAAGTATATATAGATATATAAATATTAAATCCTGTTAGATAGTTTTTCACAATTCATAATACTTTTGCACTCATTTCTTAATAAATTGTCATTTCTATTAACTTTTGTTCCTCATATTTTAGGTACATAAATTAAATATTTCTTAGAAAAATGTTCATTATATAAATATCGTACATAATTAAAATAACAATGATTTCCTAGTAATTTTAAATTGAAAAGAACATAATAATAATTATTATTATAATTAAATATTAGTTATTTTTTATTTGCATTATGGATATAAAACTGGAATATTTCAAATATTTTGAAAATATTTCCCATACAGTTTCACCCAAATTGATGTGTCTTGTGTATTTTTTCTATAATCACCATAATAGCAATAATTTATGTCAACTTGTGTTGGATTACGTTTTTTTTTTTTTTTTTTTTCCTATAAATTTGTATATGTAATATGTACTTTTATTATATTACATAATAAACGTAAATATATATTAATCTAATGTGTTTATTTTTAAAATCACTCGTTTAAATTATGATTTTATAAAAAAAAAAATATTTACAAAATTGTTTGTAAATAATTTAATTTTTGCATTTTTAATTATTAAAAAATTTTGTTAATTGATATAAATTAAAGCATTTAAAAAACCTGAAAATATTTATAAGCATACATAAAGTTTATATCTTTAAATTACAATTATCAAGAAATTTAATGATGAGCTTTTTTATTTGATTGTTAACGACTTTCAAAAGGTAAATAATAATATATTTTTGAAATAATACTGAATAATATTTTTTGAAATAATATTAAATAATATTTTTTTTTTTTTGAAATGTAAATATTATCTTCATTTTAAAACAATAAATTTAATTGTCAACAAAAGTTGAGTTTTCATTAAGTCGGGTATTGTTTTTTATAATAAATAGTTTTTTTTTTTCTTTCTTTATTTATTCACACGAAGAAGTAAATATTTATTTTAATTATATATAACATGTGAATGTATTTGTAATAGAATTATTACAACAATTATTAAATCCCAATAGGCTTGTAATTATCATTATCAATGATGCAAGCTTCATAATTTAAAGTTGCTTTTCCTAGATTTACATCGGCAACATAGTATGGAAAACCTTAAGGAAATGTAATATTGCCATGACATGCAACTCCATAACTGCCATTTTTATGAAAAGCAATAATTGCTCCATAATATTTTGGATAATACTTTGCAATCCTTTTAATGGCAGTTGTTACTGCTTGTTTAGGTGTTGCACCATGTCTCATTTGTTCGACAGTGAAAAAACTTAAAGAAAAAGTAAAAAAAAAAAAAAATAAAAGAACATTGAGCAATTTCATGGGATTTGATAACAAGAATTTTTGATGATTGGAGCAATTTTATTGAAACCTTGTGAATATGTTCCTTTATTTGTACAGAATAAAAAGCCCACAAACAATTTTTCAAAATTTTCAAAATTTTTTGAGATATCTCTAATTAAAAATTTGTCATTTTTTAAAAAAAATATGTAACTTTTTTTCTTGTTATCCAAATGAGATCAATTTTTTTTTCAAATTTCTCACACAAAAAGATGCAAAAAAATTTTTTTTTTTTCATGAACTATTTTTTTTTTAAATAGCATCTTTTTGTGAGAAATTTGAAAAAAATTGATCTCATTTGGATAACAGGAAAAAAAGTTCCATGTTTTTTTTTTTTTTAAAATGACAAATTTTTAATTAGAGATATTTCAAAAAATTTTGAAAATTTTAAAAAATTGTTTGTGGGCTTTCATTCTGTACAAATAAAGGAACATATTTACAAGGTTTCAATGAAATTGCTCCAATCATGAAAAATTCTTGTGATCAAATCCCATGGAATTGCTCCATTGTAAATATTCTATTAAGTACACTAAAACGTCAATCGAGAACAGACGAATGTGCAGTGCTGTTCTCGATTGACGCGATTTTTATCGCTCGAAAATAAAAACACTCAGGGCCGTATGAAGGGCCTTACGCAACAATGTGAATTCTATCTAGGGGATTTTCACTAGTGGGGCACTGAATCCACCTTAAATTTAAAAATCACAAGTACGAGTTTGGCGTCAGTCATAACCTAAATTCTACCCGCTTTCCCACTTCCCTTCAAGTGTTCCCTTGCTCTGTTCTCGACTGACGTGTTCTCGATTGACGTTCTAGTGTAGAACGAAATTTAATAAAAAGAATGTTCTATATATTTAATTAGAACAAAATTTAAAATTTATTTAAAAATAAATTTAATTTCCATTTGAATGAAATTTTCTCACCTTGGTAAAAAGCGCATCATAATATCACCTTTACCAGTTTCAGCAGCGTCACCAATTTCCGAATCAGCATAAGCACCAGCTCTTGGAATTGGTGAATCTCCAACTCTACCGAGAATTTTATAATCTAAACCATTCGTAGAAACTCCAGCGGCTATGTTTCCTTTAGTATCCATTGCAATCTTTCCAATTGTATCATGAGCATCCGAAGGAATTAAATGTTCCATATTTTCTATTTGATTATCTTTCACAATAGTGAAAGATACTCAAATAGAAAATACTTCCTCCATGAGGAAGCAATATGGTTTATATGGGCCACATGATTTTGAAGGATCTGGTTCAACGTTCTAAAATTTAATTCAAATACTTTTTTTTTTGCAATCCGTTAAAATTATAAATTAGAAAACATTTTAATATAAATTAAAAAATAATACCTTCCAAAAATTCGGTTGACAATTATTATTATTCTTCCATTTTTCCCACATATTTGTAGTGTTTTTTGTTTGCAATGATTGTTTTTTAAATCCCATTTGAAGAGCGAATTCTACATCAAGATCACCAACAAGAAGTGTATGTTCGGTATTTTCCAACCAACAGCACCAACATCCATTGTGTTTCTGAAAAATATTTAAATACGTAAACATTTTAAAACGAATTTTTATTTTATTACTAAAAAATTTATACCCACCTATAATAAGAGAATCTAATGTAGTTTCTCCATTTTCATCAGGACTTCCTCCAAATCCAACTTCCGTTCGAAAATGAAGACTTTCAGATAAACTAAGAGCTTCCTCAATTGAGGGCCTGGAAAGCACAACCGACGAAGCGCTCGGACTCAGGCAGTGAGTAGTGGGGATATTGCCAGTTAGGACGCACTCACACCTCCGGCTGCCTGCACAGGCAGCCAGTGAGAGCCAATCAGAGAGTCAGTAGATCGAAATATGGCAATATCCCCACTACTCACTGCCTGAGTCCGAGCGCTTCGTCGGTTGTGCTTTCCAGGCCCTCAATTGTATCTAAAGAAGTTTTTTTTTCTTTGTATATCGCCTGCCATGCTAGAAACAATTATTTCAAATTCAACAATAATCATTTGCCATAGTTTTTTTTGTTTTTTTTTTTTTTTTTGTTAAAAATAGTAAATAATTTATTATCACCTCTTTCAGCTTCTTCAAAAAAATTCCATGTAACTAAAACAATAGGATTTCTATCTTCAGCAAATGAAAATGATATGATAAATATCAATTGAAGGACCAATATTTTTAAAACTGAAAATTCCATTCTTGAAGCTGATCTCTAAAAAATATTATAAATAGGTATTCAATGATTTTCTATTATTAGATAAATAATTTATTTTTAAATAAGAGAAAAATTAATTCATTTTTATTTTTTTTTTTAGATTACATTCATCTGAAATAATATTGAATGTTAAAGGAATTAATTATCTGTAAACTTTCTTTTTCAAGTTTTGAATGATCTCGTTGATGCTGCGCAGTTGAAGAAATCGAAATCTCGGATTTTTCAGGTACACACTGACACGTTTTTATAAACTTTAAATAATATTTGTTAGTAATTTTTTTTTTAAAATTCTTGATTTCTTTTTATCTTTATTAATGAACATTATGAACGTGACTAAAAATTAAACATTTACATTAAATTTTGAAAGAATTTCATTTAATTCATAATATTAATAATAGAATAATTATTAAAATATAATAATAGGGTCAATACCATTATATTTCAGATGATGTCATTGCGACCTAATTTTTTTAAAAAAAATTTATACTTTCAGAAATGATTCTATATAAATTTATTTCGAAGCTGATTGTTAAAATAATATTATTAATTATACTTTTTGAAAGATGAAATATCAATTTTCAAGAATAAAATCTGCAAAATTTTATTTATTTATACAATTTGCATTGTATAAAATTTTTTTGTTATATCACTTCTACAGAATTTTTTAAAAATGATTTGATTTTAATGTAACATTTTCAAAAAAATTTAATAAATGTTAAAAATTTTAAAGCAATAAAAAGGCGCGTGTAAAAAATTGAATCCTTGAAAAAATATCGATTAGTCGAACAATAATAAAAAATTATCATTTAACAACTCTGAATATAAAAAAAAATTATAAAATTTAGTTTAATAAACGGGAGTCATGAAAAAGCTCTAAAACAAATTTTTTGAGCCACATGGCTAATTTTTTTGAAATTATTTTTGAATCGAATTTTATTCTGTAGATTATTATATTTGCAGAATAGTAATTTAATAAATGCATCTTCAATTAGCAGAATATTAATTTGGTCGAATTTTCATTTTATAGAATAAATTTTTAAATAATTATCAATGTTGCCGAATTTTTATTTAGACGAAAATTAATTAACCAGAAATTCAATTTGATCGAATCCTCAATTTGTGCGAAACCAAATAAATTTATCTATAAAATTAATATTCGAACAAATAAATATTCTGCAAAAGTAATATTCTACAGAATAAGATTTTATATTACATCATATGATTCTAAATAAATTTGTTTTGGTGCTTTTTTTTATTTATAAAAGTAAATTTCTAATTTTTGTTTATAAATATAAAAAAAAATTATTTAGAATTAATTTTAATTTTTCATTGCGACTATAATTCATTAATTATCTCAAAAAATTATAAATATGAACCTCGACAATTGTATGTACAATTTGTATTTAGTGCCTTTATTCTATAAATATTTTCAAATTATTAAATTGTTATAAATATTACAATTAATAAGGTTCATACCTGTTGTTTGCTGATGTAAAGTGCTTTTAGTTATTCGTTGTCAGGACAAAACTTTCATAAACAATATTTAGTAACGCAATGTCTTCTAAATAATGTTACAGTTACTTTATACTCGACTTTCAAAAGTTTTCTGATATCTCTTGCAATAAATTGTTTTTGAAATGAAAAATTGTTAAACAGTAATAATTGAAAAGCTAAAATAGATATATATCATATTTACGATGCAAGATGCACAAAACTAGATAGTTATGAAATAAAAATATTATTTTCAAAATGTTTAGTTCATGAGAGAATAATAAAAAATAATCATTTGGAAAAAAATATTTATTATTACTTAGAAAAAAATATATTAAAAAATTTATAGTTATTTTCTAAAAACGTGATTTGCATTTTGTGATATAACTATATATTGTCTTCAAAATGTACAAATAAAATTTTTTTTTTCTAATCTACAAACAAATTAATGTCTATGTTACATATATCTTTCTCGTGATAATAAAACAATTCTTTAAAATTTGAATAATTAACAAAAAAATTCAAAGAATTAATTACCCGCTGTAATATAGCCAATACAAATTATAATTAATTTGTCTTATTATTCTTTGCATGATAAGATGAAGTGTCCTAAGAGTATGTAATTAATTTTTTTTTTCGAATTACTTTTAAACATTAAAGTCAGAGTAAAATATTTTAATTCTATTGAAAATTCCCTGCTGGGATCCTATACATACACTAAAAAATTTTGGAATTTTTTCCGATGAAATAATTGGAAATTTTTTCGAAATTAAGAGAGAAACAGGATTTTTGAAATGTTTAGTCGACATTATTTCGATATTTGGAGTATGATTTTATTTGGAAATTTACGATTTTGTTTTTACATAGAGACCTATGTGGATTCCTAAATTATTTCCTACAATTTTTCTGGTATAATCTATACAGTTACTTTATTCTTGATTTTTAAAATATACACGTGTACATTTCGATTATTTCAAAAATAATTTTTTGATATCTCTTGTAATACATTGTTTTTGAAATGACGAACAGTTTAATAGTCATAACAATTTAATAGAAAAAATAGATGATATTTACGATGCAAGATGCACAAAACTAGATAGTTGAAATAAAAATATTATTTCTATAATGTTTAGTTCATGAGGGAATAATAAAAAATAACAATTTGAAAAAAAAATATTATTTATTATTACTTCGAAAAAGATAAAATATTAAAAAAATATATGGTTACTTTCAAAAAATGTAATTTGCAGTTTATCATAACTATATTTGAAAATCAAATATTTAAAAATGTTATTATAAAAAAATTTGATATATAAAAATTCCATTTTTTGTTGAACCCTTCACTATGTTAGAGAAAAAATTGATATTGTGGTTTCTATTTTCTTTTAGTATACTAATTGGGACTAGCTTCCACGAATTTTTTCAAATTTTTTTTAGCAAGCCGTTTTCGAGTTATGGAATTTTGAAAATTGTATTGAAAATTTTTTTTAAAAAAACTACTTTATTTTACGAAACTTTTAAGCCTAGCTCAATAATGGGCAAACAATTTTTACAATATTTTCAGAATTTTTTAAAAATATTTTTGGTTTTTTTTATACTACGTACTTTTATGTATTTTAATGCGCTGATTATACGAAAATCATAGTAAAAATACCCAAAAATTTGATTTTTATGGTGAAAACTATAAAAAAGTCCCAAAATTTATGTTTTTTTTTTTTTTTTTTGTTTATTCGGTAAAATATGCAAAATTAAAAAAAATGCATAAGATATAAAAAATTTATTTTATTAAGATCTATAACTATTGTCTGAAAGTTTTTTTTTTTAATTTTCCATATTTTACCCAATAAACGAAAAAAACCATAAATTTTGGGACTTTTATGGTTTTCACCATAAAAATCAAATTTTCGGGTATTGTCACTATGATTTTTGTATTCAGCGCATCAAAATACATAAAAGTACGTAGTATAAAAAAGAACCAAAAATATTTTCAAAAAATTCCGAAAATATTGTAAAAAATTTTGAAAAAAATCGATCAGTACGTCAAATGAGAAAAATGACTTACATTATCATTAAAACTCAAAAATTTGATAGTAATATCGTTTAAAAAAATTTCGATTTATTTTTTTTGTTGAAAAGTACGTTTAAAAACACACATTTTGAAAAAAAAAACTTTTAAAATTAAAAAAAAAAAAAGAATTTTTTAAATTTTTAAATTGCTAAAAAAATTTGGAAAAAAAATCATGAAAGTTATAGTCTTAATTAGTACTAATAGAAAAATAAATTTCAAAAATATCAGAGATGCAATTGCTGATAATTTTTTTTCGTGATTTTTTATTGTTTTTTTTAATTGTTTATTAGTTAAAAATAATAAATTATTTAATTATTACTTAAGCAAATACCATTGATACCTGTAGTGTGCGAATAATGATATAAGAGAATTTATTTTATAATTTAAAATAGAAAATTTCATTTATATTTTGTTTTAAGATAATCACGACACAATGTATGTGTCGCTGATAGTGAATGGTTTAAAATAAACGGTATACAAAGAAACATATTTATTAAATTATATTGTATAAATAATTGATGTCATTAAAAAAAAATTTTAGTCGTTTAATTAATTTTCATAATAATAATACAACGAAAACAACATACGCGCGCAAAAATTATCGATATAGGAAACGATATATCGAAACGTTAATATCGATGTTTGAATATCGATAATCGTATTGGATATCGATATCCGATATGGTCCTCACTAGATGTGACATATCTTGTTGACAAATAGTTTTTATTTTCTTTTAATTTTTTTTTTTTTTTTTAAATAATGTTTAGTTCGTTTATTTTTTTTATTGTTTAAATAAAGTGAAAAACAGTTGTTGTTGTTGTTGAAAAAGTTTTGTTTTTTATAAAATTCTTATTAAAAATGTCGAATCAAGAGAAAAGTATAAAAAGGTAAGTTTTTTGACGAATTTCTTTGTTGTATTTGTATTATTTCTAGTATCATTTTATATTTAAAAAAAACATTTTCTATTTAACAATTAATTTTTTTTTAAATTTCTCAAAAAACTATTGTTTTAATTATACCTATAAGAAATTTTCAAAAAACAACATCTCACATAACCTTAAATTTATTTATAAGATTATTATTTATAATTTGGATTTTAGTGATATTATATTTTGCTTTCTCTTGGTTAAAAAAAAAAAGAGATTTTTTTTTTTTATTTAGTCCTTTAATTATAATATGTAATATAATAATATTTCGATAAAATTTTAGCCATGAAAGGAATTGTATTAGTATTGATCGGTTTGGAGATCAGGGTGGATACTTTGATGTTGTCGTGAAACCAATGTTACAACAAGGCCACGAGGGTGAATTATGCGGGTGGTTGAGGGAAATGAGTTTACTTCGAACGTTTGTCGCTTGTCCACAAGAAGAATGTAATGGACGAAATTTAATTTGGCGACCGGCAAGAGTCATTGATAAATACAAATGGATTTGTCCTGATTGCAAAGCCGTACAATCAATTAGAGATAATTCATTTTTCATAACTATTAAATGTGAATTAAAAATGTGCCTTCAAATTATTTTAGCATGGTGTCAACAAGTACCGAGCGAAGTCACAGCATCCAATTTAGGTACCAAAAAAAAAAGTCGAAATATTTCAATTATTATTATAAATAAAATAATTATATTAAATAATAATATTTAATAAATTATAAAAAATATTTATTATTAAATTAATTATTAGGTATTTTATAAATTTACTTCCCTTATAATTTAATTTGTAAAACTATATGTAATTTTTTTTTTTCATTTACAGGAGTAAAGGAGCATGTGGTGAAAAAAGTTTACGAACGATGTGTAAAAGTAGTGGAAAATTATGTTCAAAAACATCCAGAGGAATGGATTTTAGGTGGACCTGGTTCAATTATAATTGTCGATGAATTTCCCGGTGGTTATATGTCGGAAAATTCTTTTGACAATACAAATAATAGAAAACGAAATAATAATTCACACAGTATTTTATGTATTGCTGAAACAAATCTTTCATTTGGTCTTCCTGTAGTTCGACCTCGAATATGGTTGCATATGATAAAAGCTAGTCCAGTGGTGAATATGTTTTTTTAATCTATAAACATTTTTTGTGAATTCTTAAAAAAAAATATTTTAATTAATTAATTTAATTTTTTTTTTATAAAACAAACATTCTATTCAACAATTTCTATCATTTGAATCGTAAAATAGAGTCAAAAATTTATAATTTAATATTTTTTAAAAAAATAAATTCTAGAAATGAATTTACTTTTTCAGCCTTCGAAAATGGATGAAAATGAATCATTTACTAAAAGTAAATGCGGAATGGTGGAGGAAGCTTTAAGTGAAATTGTTAAACATGTCGCACGAGGAAGTTACATTGTTGCAAATGGTCGTGCACGTTGTTGTAATTATGAATCAGTCAAAGAATTGAAACAGTATCACGTTATTAGTGTTGAATATCTACAAAAATTTGATTCCAACAGTGTTAAACTCGCCTCTACATTAGGTAAGAATTTTAATTATTTATATATTGTTGACATGGCTTACTCGATGCTCGATTAAAAAAAAAAAAAAATGCCATCACTTTTTCAATCATGTCTCTGCAATAAAAGACACTGAAAAAATTTTAATATTATATCTTAATATTTTGTAGCTTTAGCTTTATTTAGAAACTGAGAGTTCACAGATTATCATGTGAAAGTTTCAATTTTTTTCCATAATTTTTTTTAGATTTTTCTAAGAGTCAAACAAACTGCAAAAAAATTGATAAATTACTGAAATTTTTTTTCAAAACATATAAAATAATATAAAATCTCCAAAAGGTAAAACAAAATTGATTAATATTTAATATACAATATTATACGAGTTTTTTTTCTAAAAATACGACTTTTTTCGACTATTTAAAATTTTTTTAAAAATATTTTTAAACAAAATACGTTTTTTTAGTATACAATTGAGAACTTCTTTATTTCAATTATTAAACAAATTTTTAACTAAAATTCTTCACTAAATTAATTATATTTAATTTAATTTTAATGAAATTCTTCACAAATTAAATTATTTTAAACTATTTTTTAATTAAAATTTTTATAAAATTTAATAATTGTTTATAATTTAAAAAAAAAATTGCAAATAAAATTACCAAAAATTTTTAATTCAAAATCACTTGAAATTTAATTATTTGCAAAAATTTCAATTATTTTTATTGATTTTTATAATATTTTTCGAAAATTCAATTATCTGAAAGTATTTTTCCATTAAAAACTTTTGGAATTCAATTTTTTTTATATGATTTCTAATAATTTCTTCATCAACAGAAATCACTAAAAATTTCTCTTATTATAATTATTGTCTGAAATTTAACACAATCTTTTGAAATTCAATTATTTTTCAAAAATTTCAATTTAAAAGCTTCTATAAAATTTAATTATTTCTAAAATTTTCCAATTAAAATTTTTTGAAATTTAATAATTTCAATTATAACTCTCCTGAAATTCAATTATTTTTAATGATTTTTAAAATATTCTTCAAAAATTCAACTAACTAAAACCATTTTTAAAAAATTTTCAAATTATTGTACTTTTGTCTGCAATTACTAATAAATTTTTTAGTGAAATCATAAAAAATTTCAAATTAAAAATCACTTGAAATTCAATTAATTTGAAAAATCGAAATTGTAAATCTTAAAAAATTCAATTACCTACTTTTAAAAAATGTTATCTAAAATTATTTGATAAATTATTTTTAGTTCTGTAAAATTTAATTATTGTCTGAAAATTAACAAAATCTTTTGAAATTCAATTATTTCTAAAAATTTCAACTTTAACTCTTGCAAAATTAATATTTAAAAAAAAATTTCTTATTTAAAAATCTGTAAATCTTGATTAAGTGTTGCCTGAATTTTTTTTGACCATCAAAACTAAGAACTATGATAACATTAGTTAATTAAAGTAAAATATTTATTAATCAATTCAATTTTTTTTTAAATAAAAAAAATCGACTTTTTTTGGAATAGTTTAAAATAAAATTTATAATAATGTTTAAAAAAATGGATTATAAATCTAAAATTTAATTCCTTCATCAGCCATTTTAAAAAATAAAAAGGCTTGCCTGACAATAAACTATTTAGACAATTTGTAAAACTTAAATTCTCAGTCAACGCTCATTTCATGTTGTTACACTGGTTCTCGTCCGATCACCAAAGTTAAGCAACATTGAGCGTGGTTAGTACTTGGATGGGTGACCGCTTGGGAATACCGCGTAGTGTTGGCTTCCTTTTTTTTTTTTTTTTTTTAATTTTTATAATTAAAATTTTACCAAAATTTAGTTTATTTTTATTATTTTTTAAAAAATATAAATAAATGATTAATTTTTTTTCGACTAAATATAAATTGATTTAGGAAAAATTTGATTAAATAAAAATTCTGCTGAATAAAAATTTTGTTAAATAAAAATTCTATATTTATTATTATTTCGAAGAAAATTTAGTTTCATGTGACAATTTTTCTTCTACATAGAAATTTTATTAAATCAAAATTTGATTAAAAGAAAAGTTATTCAAATAAAAAATTCATGAAAATTGCAATACTTTTTTTGTATCATTTTAAAAAAAAATTCATCCAAATTTTCTTTAATTATTTTTACAAGTTGTATTTTTTTCAAAAAATTTAAATTGAATATTATGTATGCGAAAATTTTTATTTGTTCTTTAAATTCTTTGTAAAAATAATGAAAAAAAAAGTAAATAATTCTAACTTTTTTTTCTCAGAAACGATTTGGCAAACCGGAACCGAAATTTGCGAAGAAGTTCAAGACGCGACACGTTCATTTGGTAAGAATATTCTTGCAACTTATTTATGGAGGCAGAGATTTGGTATTTCGCCATTTCAAACAATTTTAAATCAAATAGCAGAGAACTATAAATTCACGTAATTTGAATTTTTTTTTTAACCCAAAAATATAACTAGCGCATTTTTTTCACTCCAAAGAAAAGCGTGCAACATTTTTTGCACGAAACCATTTGCAATATAAGATTATAAGTTGATTTAATATTCAAGTCCCTATATTAATAATCACGTCACTTTTTTTTAATTTAAATTGGCATCAATTCACAAAAAAAAAATGTCTTCAAAGGATAAACAATTTTCATATTATAAAAAAAGGGAAGGAAAAATTTTGTAATGAAATTTATAGATAATAGTTTAAAAAAGAAGAAAGTTTATAGATATAAATATTAACAAAAAAATTTTTAAAAATTTTAATTATCTTATTTTATATGATTGACAAAATTTATAAATATGGCTAAATTTTATTGATACTAACAAAAAATTTTTTTTTTATAGATACTAATAATTATTTTTTATATAGAATTGACAAAATTTATAGATTTAATATAGTAGTTGATGAAAATTTATAATTAGAAATATTTTTATAATAGACAATTTTGTCTAGAAAGTTGATATTAACGAAAAAAAAAATTAATTTCTGTTTTTCTTTTTAAAAATATTGTAAGTTTTAACGAAAATTTTCTTCCATTTTGATTTAATTAATGTCAAAGAGGCTATATACTCGAGTTTCGATAAAAATTAAATGTAATAATCGGACTTGAAACTCTTAGTGTGTAATTAATTTTAGAGAGATTAATTGATATTATATGTTTGAAAGTGAAACATAACAATGTCTTCCAAAACATTTTTATATATTTTTCCAATAACATGATATTATAGCAGTGCCTTTAAAACTAAAAAAAAAAATAACATCTCTATATATTAAATGTTAACAGATCGTTACAGATTTATATCAGAAAGTTAATTCATAATAGGCGACTCATTCTGTTTTTGTTTGACAGAAAAAAAAAAATCTTGATTAACATCATTAATTTCAATATGAGAAAAAAATATAATAATTTTTGTTTATTACTTAGACCTATTTTAACTCCAACAATAAGTGTTGCACAATTAAAAAAAAAAAAAAAAAAGAAAGAAAGCACAAAGTTGTTACATATAATCACCAAAAATTTAAGTATTTAGTGTTAAGTGCAATTAGTTTATTTTTATTACTAAAAATACAAACTATCGTTTCAATTTGCACAATCAAGTTTTTTATTAATATTAAATTTAATTTTAATCATTTATAAAAATTATTTTAAAAATTCTTTTATTTGTACGTTATTATATTGACAGTGAATTAATTTTTATTGTTATATATTTCAAATTAATATTAATATTTCACTCTGTATGTTAATGTTTATATTTTTTGTGAAGGTAAAAAAAAGATGAAAATTGAATACAAAATTGATCTGTTATTAAAATGTTATTACTTTCAGAGAAATGTACTAATTTTTGTTAATTATAAAAAAAAAAAGAAAAAACACAAAACTTAATTTCTTGATTGGAGAATTAAAGTTTAATAATTTTCATTAATGTCCTTCAATAAGAATTTTATTAAAAGGAATATTATCGATTAAAAAAAGACAACCATCAGATGAAATAGTAAAAAAATTAGTTTTTAAAATTATTGTTTTTCTTTTATGAAAAGTTGAATTTTTAAATAAATGAATCTTTTTTGTTGTTAAGGTTTTACTGTTATGATATAGTGGATTTGTATTCTGTTGGAAATTGTGTGTAATGTTATGCATTTTTTTAAATTCTTTATTTTCGTCATATTTGTATAAATAATTTTTTTTTCTGAAGAGAAAATTGAGTCAACTCCGAAATATTAACTTCACCTGATGGTTATTCTTTTTTTTAATCGATATTTTTTTTATTTTTAAATAATTAATAATTGTTTAATATAATATTATTGTCCGCTTGAGATTTATGAAACAATCGTTTAGATTTATGTATTTTATTTTTATTGTAAATTGTATTCGACGAAAAAAACTGATATACAAACTGCGATTATAAAATGTATATATATTTTATATATATATACTTTGAATAAAAAAAATATATTTTCATTTTTTACATGAATTCATGTTATATTCTCATTTTTGTCAATTTATATATATTATATAGATTTTATCATAAATATCAAAAAATGTTAAAGAGGCTCGCTCATTAACTTTTTGTACTCTTGTTGATCCTTAACCATTTTTTTAAAGACTCGATATTTACGAGAGTGGAATCTGAAAAGAAAATTTTTATTTACTTTATGAATAATAAAAAAAAAATGAAATATCGAAAAGAAAATAACTAACGAATATGTTTCGGCTCTAGGCTTGACAATTCGTGAAGAACTTTTCATTGCATTTACAGCTTTTTGAACAGTTAAATATTTCCCAGCACTAGCACCCAAAATTGCAGCGCCCAACATAACAGGCTCCTTTTCTGTGGGTATAAGAACGGGTAATCCCAAAACATCAGCCTGAGTTTGTATAAATAATTCACTGTGTCTTAAGCCACCGCAAATTAAAATTGCCTTTATTTCATGACCCGATGAATTTAATGCCTCGATTATATGTTTAGTTCCGTACTGAAAAATGTCCAATATATAATTTGTGGGAAAAAATAAAAACAATTTTATCCAATTTTTATTTAACCGCATGAAATTAAATAAATATTTAATATTATTTATAAAATAAAATTTTTTTATAAACATTATTGAATCGTTGATGTGAAAAATTTAACACTTACAGTGATGGCTTGTAAAGTTGCTAAATATAATTTTGCTAAATTTTCCTCGTCAGAAGACAATGAGAGTCCTGTCACCTAAGAATTATTAAAAAAAAAAAAATTTAAATAAAAATTTGTAAAAAATTTCATTAATTTAATATAAAAAAAAAATGAAAATCAATTACCATTCCTCTAAGCGTTGAATCAGCAAGTGGCGATCGATTCCCATGAAAATCGGGCCAAACATGAAGATCTTTTGTTAAAAGAGATTCGTGTAAGAGATTTTCTTTCCTCGCAATTAATTTTATTAAATTAAATAAATACTGCTGTATGTGTCTAGAAAAATGTTGAATTAATTTATAACAAATTATTGCGTAAAATAATTGAAAAATAAATTAAAAGGAATGTATTCCTTACAAATTCATTAAACTGAATTTTCAGTGAATCGAATTTTCATACAGCAGATTTTTATATTTACTGAATTTTCTTTTTATCATAACAGAATATTCTTTAAATGGAATTTTTATTTATTTCTACTAGTAGAATTTTAATTCAATCAAATTTTTATTTTATTGAAATAAATTTTGCCTATTCATAAACTGTGCTAATATAGAAATTCACTTAAATGAACATTCTAGTAAGTAAAATTTCGCTTTGATAGAAATTCTGTTAAGTGAAAATTCGGTGATATAGAAATTTTCATTTAAAAAAAAAATTCGGCCATTAATTAAATATTCTATTGAATTAAAATTCAGTCAAGTATAGTAATTCTATATTAAATAAAAATACAGTTTTTAAATAAAAAATCTTACATTTTTGTTGGTGAAAATTCGATTAAATACCAATAATGCTGTACATAATTCGCGATTTAATTGAAAATTTTACGAGATAAAATTCAATTATATGAAAATTTCTTACTAAATTAATTTTTAATTAATATTCATGTGTTTTCTATATGAAAAAATAAAATGAATAGAAAATGTGAAAAAAAATAGTTACATTTTTGAATCAAGTTGACTTCGAATTAAAGCGGAAGCCGGATGTGTGTCAATAATATGATCTAACAATTTTCCTGTAGCACTTTGTCCACCTTCACTCAGCCACAAATTGGGAAACATTGCATTGTAATAAGGACCCCAGACACCTGGTATAAAAATCTCTTTCTCACTCACTGCCATGTGACACGTTGAAGTTCCGCAAATTAGACCTTTAATAATAAAAAAAAAAATTAAATCAATTGCAATTAAAATAGAAATAAAATTTATTTAAAATAAAATTAATATTAAATATTAATTAGAAACTGAATATATGTAATTAATTGTTGATTTGATTGATAATTTAAAAAAAAATTGTAAATAATTTACCCAATCTAGCTGTTAATTCGACAGAAAAATCGGGAGAATCACAACCGAGCATTCCCAATCCACCGGCATGAGCATCAATAATTGACGTTCCAACAGGCGTTCCTTCTAATAAATTTAATTCAACAGCTGCACGTTTTGATAAACCCAAACCAACAGCTTCTCCAGGAACTTTTACTTCGGAACCTAAAATAAAAAAAAAAATTTAATAATAATCATGTTTGCCACAAGAATGCAATTATCAATTTACTTGACATTAAAAATTTTTTCCCCGACAAACGAGTTTTATTAAATTTAATTAGTTTTAATGGAAATTTTATAATTTGAAATTAGAAAAATGTGTATTTGAAATTTTTGATAAATTGAAATTTAAATCAATTAAAATTTGAACAAATTGAAATTAGGATAATTTCAGACATAAAACAATGAAAATTTGTACAAATTGAAATTCAAATAATTTGAGACTTAAATCAATCGAAAATTTGAATAAATTAAAATTCGGATAATTTGAAACATAAATCATATACAGAAAATTCAAAATTTCGTTCAATTGAATTTGTTTTTTTTTTTTATTGAAATTTTAATTAATAAATTTATTTTAACCAATAAAAAGTAGAATTAATATTTAAAGTTGGATCACTTGAAATTTAGATTTATTAAAATTTTAAATTGAATAATTTAAATTAAATTAAATTGAAATTTAGCCTAAATAATTTATAAATCGATGAAAAATTTTGATAAATTCAAACTTGGATCAAGTAAATCATTTATAAAAAAAGAAGAAAATCTGTATTTTTGTGTTCTCTAAAGTTAATATAAGTTTAGGAATTTTAAAAAGAAATTTTATTTTAAACTAATAAATTATTTTTCAACATTCTAGAGGTAAAATCAATGTTTTTTTCTCCGTAATTAATTTTTTTTTCTTAAATTTTACATTCACAAATTAATTGAATCATGAGATTGGTGAAAAAGGTAAGAAAATATCAAAACTAGTGAAATTTTACCAATTCGTTTCCAATTGTTTTTCGCAACATCAGCTAATCCAATTTTTTCATAAAAATCCAAATCCCAACCATTTTTTTTAGGACTTGCAACATAATTCCATTTACAAACTAAAGAACACAATGAACTGAAAACAAAAAGAAAAAAATACTTTTTACTAGACACAAAAAAAAAACAGAATTATTTTTGAGGATAATTTCTATAATAATAAATAATCGACAAACCGAGATTCAGAATTAGTTGCACGCCACGTGAGAAAATCAGGAAGATCAAAAAGAAGCTGTGCCCTGGACCAAGTTGATGGTAAGTTTTTCTTTAACCAAAGCATTTTTGGCGCTTCCATTTCTAATGATATTTTCCCACCTACATATTTAAGAATTTGATGATTTGTTGAATTAATAAATTTTGCTTCCTCCTCTGCTCTATGATCCATCCAAAGAATAATATTTCGATCATCATCGCCTAACAAAATTGAAAATAAATTCAAATTTGTGAATTTTATTTTAATATATAATCAAATGAATATGCAAATACATATATGATAGCAAATAGCATCTTATCATGATGTGTTACTTTTTTTATTTTCTATTTTTAAACTTTAGATATATTCATCGAGAGAATTGCGCATTTTTATTATATGGAGAAAAAAAAGATAATAATTGATTTGACTTTTTACCAGAGAAAACATTTTTTTTTACATTAAAAAAAAAACATTGTAAATACTTTTTATTTATGAAAATGTTTATAAACTCCAATAAACAATATTTTTATTTATTTATAATTTTTTAATGTAATTTTAAAATAATGTTCATTTTATTAATTAAAAAATAAATTCCTATTTTCTATTAAAATTTTTTTTTGAAAATATTACCAGATGGACTAACAGTCACTGGAGATCCATTTTTATCCAAAACTACTAAAGAACACGTAGCAGCAAATCCAATTCCTTTGACATTATTTTTTGGAACGTTAGCAACAACTTTCTACAATATTATATTTATAAAAAATAATTAATCACTTACAAAATAATTTTATTTTTAATTTATTATTAATTTAATAATAATAAATTGCTGTAAAAAAAAATTTAACTTACTTTAACAACATGACAAACTGATTCCCAGATGTTATTCGATGATTGTTCATAAAATTCTTCTAAAGGATTAAATGTTTTTGTCGGATGATTAGCGAGATTTATTGTTTTTCCATCCTCGGAAATAAGAGCCGCGCGAACACTTCCTGTTCCCACGTCAACACCAACAAAATATTCTGTCATAATTTATAATATATTTTCCAAATTAATGAGCAATAATAGACGAAATACAAAGTCTCCTTCAACCGACAAAGACTAACGGATAATACGAACGTCAGATAAGACGGAGAATTTAATTTTTTTTTCCTTTCATTTAAAGCAGTATAATCTATTGCGTGGCGTAATTTACTCGTTATTTCCAATTTTTTGATATTGTTGTTGTAAAACATCCTTTTTGCATCTATCATTTAAGATTTATAAGCATTTAATACTTTTACAAACTTATTTCATATATATATATGTATGTGTATAACAATTATCAATAATGAAAGGAGAGAAAAAGGTTAAATATTTTTCACTGACAATCAGCACGTGTTTATCATAAAATAATAAACAACTTGTTATCAGCTGGTTATGTAATGATTTCACGCGCTTGCGTGATGTCCTTTCTGCAAATGTCAAATTGTCAACACAAAAACATAACCTCAAAACATGGTCCGGTTTAAAAACAGGTAATTTTATAATTATTTGCAAAAAAAAATACTTGTATAATTGAATTAAATTTAAAAATTCATTTTTTCCTTTTATATTAGTAAATAAAATAATAGTATAATAGTATTGTAAAATATAACAATAAGATAAAAATATATACGTTTATTAAATGTCACGTTTTTGTAAAAAAAAAAATTATTCTTGAATTAAATTTTCAGAAATTTTAAAGAAAAATTAAAGAACAATTTTAAAAAGTAATTAATAAATTTCTCGTATAAATTACATCATTTCATCATAATGTGATTTATTTTGTATATATACATAACCTTCAAATAACTTCATTGTCGTGAGAAAATTATATATATATTAAAATTACTTTTAACTATAAAAGTTATTCTTAATTAAAGTATATTATGTGTCTTATTTTCTAAATAAATTTAATTGCATGTATTGTTTTTATTTAAATATAAAATATGAAAATAATATGAAAAGCGTAATTTTCTTTTTTTTATTTATTTGTTTAATAAATTAATTTAGTTTTATAATTTTTTATTATACGAATTATATGATTGTTCTTAATATGTTGATTAATGAAAACTTTGTTTTCCATATGAATATGAAAATTTTAATTTATATAGGCAAAAGAAAGGATTTTTAAAAATTAAGTAAATATAAGTATTTTAAGTATTTTTAAATTACATAATTTCATAAAAGAATTTATATACATAATTTATTAATTAAAATATTAAATAATTAAATTCATTTAGGTACTTTACATTAGAGATAACATCAGCTGTTAATCCAAATAAGCCATTGATTTTAAAGACAACAGCATTGCATCACGCAATTCAAAAACAAGTGCATTATGATTATGGTGATTTTGGACAAGCTGCGATAAATGCTGGATTTAATGGTAAATATTTAATTTCCAATTCGATTTCAATGTATTATCATAATTACAGAAATCATTTTATACAATTACAATTTTTTAAAAATCGACAAAATTCTCGAAAATTATTTTATAATAATATTTGAATATAAAATTTATTCGAATAATAGAGGAAAATTTTACGATTACGATTATTGTTATTATTATTTTTATTAAAATAATTGTAAAACTGGTAAAAACAAAAAAATTTGTTTCTAGCAAAATATTGCAACGCACAAACAGGAATTGCTCTTGTAAAAGTTCGTCATGGACCGCACAAATTTTTACTCACTTCTGTTCCAAATATCAAAAAACTTGGTGATCACACGGTGAACGTGAAAATTTTATATGTCGGAGCAACTCTCAGACACTGTTTTCTGTTTGTTAAAGTAATTACAAATTTTTATTTATCTTATAATAATTAATTCCACCCTTTGAGGAGCAAATTTTCTCTTAAAAAAATGCAATTTTTTATTTTTAAACAAATTTTTTTCTCTAATTAAAGTTCTTTGTTTGAAAACGAGTTTGAAATTTAAAATTTACTATAGATTAAATGAAAAGAATTGTTTCAATATTCAATTTTAAAAAATCATAAAATTTATATGCATAAGTTAACAAAAATTGATTGGTTGTGTTTTTATTTATTTAATTAATAAATTAAATTCATTTATATAATTTTTTATAATACAAATTATATGATTATTCTTATTATGTTTAATAATGAAAATTTTGTTTTCTATATAAATAAGAAAATTTTAATTTTGTATAGGCAAAAGAAAGGATTTTTAAAAAATAAAAGAATATTAAATTTTAGATTTCATTAAATAATAAATTTTTAATATAAACAGTCAAATAAAAGTATTTTTGCAATTTTTGAAAATTATTTGTAAAAAAAATAATGGAGTAATTAAATTAAATTTCATCTTGTATGATTAAATTGAAAAGAACTTTCAAAATTTCTTGACACTTTTTTTTATTTTTTACTTTTAACTTCAAAGTCTAATCAAATTTTCAAATTTTAAATAAAAAAAATTGATTATTAATAAAAGAAAAGTGAGTAATTTAATTTTTTTCACTCTTTGAATCAATTCATTTTTTACTGATTTCTAACTAATTTCTTACTGCATGCAAAATAATTGTTAAATTTTATGTTATGCAAAAAAAATGTTTTTATTTTAATTAAAAAACACGAACTAATTTTTATATTCATTGTTCGTCTGTTTTTTAAAAAATTAATTTGGTGAATTTTACAGAAACATCAACAGAAAAAATTAGATGAGATTTGGAAAAGTTTAAAAACTGACGAGCAACGACAACAAATGGAAGATATTTTCTTAGGCATGACACCTGCCATGAAAGATTTTAAGTAAATATTAATATTAATTAATTAATAATAAAAAAAAATGTGATTTACATTTTATTACGTTAATGTAAATTTAAAACAATATTTTTTTTTTTGTAAATATATTTTTATTACGCAAATGTTAAAATTTACATTAATCTATTTTATAAATATATATATGTAAACAATTTCTAAGTTATTTTTAATTTTTCACTTTTTATAAGAATCACTTTCTTTTATTTTTACAATTGTATCGTATTTAAATTTTCCCGCGGGATTCAATTCAAGGCCCCTCCCTTTATTCAATCAAGAGCGGCTATTTAAAAGCTTTCTCCCCCCAAAATTTTATACAAATTTATTTACTTGTTTTACTATAATTTTTCTAATACCAATAAAAGAACTTTTTTTTCAATAATAAATTCTAATCTTTAACCAAAAAAAAAAAAAAACCCAATACAAATTTTGTCTGTATTATATCAAATTTCTAATTTAAAAATATTTTTCTCAATTGTTTTATTTTTAAATAAATTTAATTAACTAATTTTTTTAAAAATAAAAATGTCTTCAAATTAAATTTTAATTTACAAATAAATGAAATAAAAATAATTTATAAAAAATCACAGAAATCATGCGCGGGATGGAGGGGGGTGCTAGATTAATAAGCCGCTCCTGATTGGGACGCAGTCTGCGTGATCTCTATTCATTTTCCCATCAGTTTCACTGCAGCATGAAGTACTCTCCAGTGTAAATTTTACAAAAACCTTAAACGGTTATAGTTTTATTCTGAAAGTGTACATTAAAAATTAGGGAAAAAAAACGTGTAAGTGAAAAAGAAAAATTATTAATAATTTGCCAAGTGAATAAAAGTGAATAAGTGGAGAAAATCTCGAAGAAAACATTATTAACCGGAACGTGTGATATTCATAACACACACACACGGTCAAGGTAATTTTTTCACTTATTAGAATTATATGAGAGGTTATTGATTCCAATAATTAATATTTAGGCTTTTTAATAATAAATTTAATTCTTCAATCCATTGAACAAAGATTATTGTCTTTATTCTCAGTTATTATTCATTTTATAGGGTCTTATTCGTTTGTTAAAAGAGTCTCTTGACATTCGCGAGAGAGTAGTAGATAGTCTCTCGTAATATTATCCTTGATTTCAATTAAAGTAATTTAGATTAAATAATTTGACGGTCAAGTGCATTGAAATATCTCGATCATGATAATTGTAAATGAATCGAAGTTAAATTTTTAAAAGTTGGTAAAATTTGTGTTTGTCTATTTTCTTTTTTGTGTGTTTTTTTAGGTTACCCTGAGAATTCAGAATATTTTAAAAATTTCAGATATTTATTTTTTTCTTTATGTCTTTTAAAATTTTTTTGTTTGATTTGTTAAATAATTAAAGTGAAAACTGGCTAATTACTTTGCAAAACAATAACATAAAAAAAAACAATTGAAAATTAATCAAGTGTTTGAATGACAGGTATTTTTTAGTTAAATAACAAACTTTTTTAAATAACAATAATAATATAATAACGAAGGTAACAATAATTAATGTTAATTAGATTTTAAATCTTAAAAATAATTTTATAGTTAATTTAAAACATTTTCAATATTAGATTTTTTAAAAATAATAATATAATAATTTTTTTTATTATTTATTTTATAAAAAATATGTAATTATACATATTTAAATTGCTTTCTATTTTGAAATTAATTACTTTTCTCTTTAAGGGAAATTAATTAATACATTTAATTATAATTAATCTTCAAGGGTAAAATGTTTTTAAAAATTCAGTTAATTATCTTATGCAACATTGTAAAATAACTAGGTATGAAAAAATTTCAATGGGTGATTACATATACATATATAATTATTTGCAAGAAAATTAATTAAAAATTCTCCTTATATAAGAATAGAATATTACATCGATCGTTTATGGTGTATAAAATTTAATTTCTTGTGACAGAAACATTGAAATATTTATTTTAATAAATTTACTAATAATTTTGTATACATTTTATTTTTTTATTAATTTAGTGAGAATTTTGTTCACTGGATTCAGAATTAGTATATTTTAAAAAACGAAATCTTTTTTTTACAAATATAAAAAAGTAAATTAAAGAAACTATTTTTTACATAATAAACCAAAATTTAATATCTAATTAGAAGTAAACTGACAAAAGTTGAAGAAAACTGTTATTTTAAGAAAAAAAAACTAATTACAATAACAAATTTTATGATTTCCTGAATGATGATAATGCCTACTAAAAAAGCCTATTACTTGAAAATAGTTGAAAATAAACTACGAAGCTTAAAGTACACAACGTTTATATGATAAACAATTAAAAAAAAAATAATTTTTTAAAATGAAAAATTCTATAATTTTTTTCCTAAAAAAAATATATGTTTTGTATTTTTCATTAATCAACAAATTATATTAAAAAAAAAATATTTTTTAGACAAAAAATTAGAGAATTTTTCATTTATAAAAAAATTATTTCTTTAAAAATCGTTTATCATAAACGTTGCGTACTTCAGCTTTGTAAATAAACTATGAGAAATAATTTAAAATTCTTTAAAAAAGATTTAATTGTTTTCTGATATATAGAAAAAAGAATTATATAAAATTTATCGCGAAATATATTTTTTATTTATTTTAGATTAAAAAAATTGAGTCAAAAAAGCGATAAATATGGTAAACTTTTAAATTCTTTTAACGCACTCAGCACACAGGAAGGGTTTCTTTTATGCACACAGTATTGCATAATGTCGATTAAACTAAATCCTCTTTTCTTTGATTGACATTTTTGATTTAAGTGCAATTTTCTAATTTTCCAGAAAAAAGGAAATTTTTTTTAATTTGAGTTTTTTGACAAAATAAAAAAAAAACTTTTTGTGCAATTTTATTAATTTCTATAACACAGCATTCACATTGCGGGAATATTCCATTGGAATATTCGAAATATTGGAATGTTCCATTCATATTCCAGGAATATTAAAATGTCCGACCTTCGTAATATTCCACTGGAATATTGATGGAATTTTTCATTGAAATGTTGAAGGAATATTCCGTTGGAATATGAGAGGAATATCAGAATATTGAGGGAATATTTAATTGAAACATTGTACGAATATTTTTTTCGGAACACGCATTAGAAATTTTTCATAAGTTAATCATTTTTAAATTTTTTTAATTTTGAAAACCATTTTTGTAATTATTTTAAAATTTATTTTTCAGAATTAATTTAGATAAATACATATAATTGAAAGTATTTTATTTCAATGAAGACAAAATTTAAAAATTTGATAAGTAAATTGAAGGTAGAAACATTATAAAATTCAATAATAATAGTTTGATTTTTCATTATTAAAAAATATTCGTACAATGTTTCCATGAAATATTCCTTCAATATTCTGATGGAATATTCCCCAAATATTCCAATGGAACATTCCATCATTATTCCGATGGAATATATGCGAGCCAAAAGTTTTGAACATGAACAAAATTTTTTTTGTAACTTCTTTAAATACGAATTTTATTACAAAATATTGTTTTAAATATATCTAAAAAGAAGTTATTAATTTAATATTAGTTTAATTTACTGTTTTATTTAACATTGACATTAAAATTTTTAATAATTTATAGATTGAAAAAAATATTTTGTTCATTTGAACGTTCAAAACTTTTGACTCATTGGAATATTCCCTCGCAATATTCGTGTGGAATATTCTGAAGGTCGGACATTTTAATATTCCTCGAATATGGATGGAATATTCCCGGAATTTAATTTTTGTTATAGATTATAAATTAGGAATATTATATATATAAATGAAACTTTGTAATAAAATATTTATTTAAACATAGAGTTAAACGACTTTTGTACCAGAAAGATAAAGCACATATATACGCGCGGCACTTGTTTAACTCCTCTGTGCGTTGCCAATGTGTAAACAAATCTCATTCTAAATGTTTACACACGAGGCGAGAATTATTTATGTTGAAAATCTTGTTCGACTTCACAAAAAAAAAAGAAAAATTGAAAAAACTTTGTGGATATAAAAATATTTGCACATGAACATTATTGTAATAAAATTATTTTCGTTTATCCGTATATATATAAGACACTATCGCCCTTTAAAGTCGCGAAAGCTTTCTTATATATATTCTAACGTCCTGATTTTCCTAATAAGATCTCAGCTTCTTCCCACGGTTTCCTAACTTTTTTTTTTTTTTTTTTTTTTTATTCTATATAATTCTCCCTTTGGCTATACGGAAAAGAGAGAGCACTTGAAGTCTTGTTATGGCATCTTGTTATAATTTTATACCCAATTCGTCTTTACACCTCGCAGAGATTCTATTGTCTTATGAAAAACAATTAATCATCGCACATATTGTATATTATTAGATGTCGGGCGCGATTAGTTTATATCTGATATGGAAAGCGTGCGAATATGTGAAGACTATATATATATATATATAAATGGAATTTTATAAATAGAGAGATGAATTATTGTTCTAATTTTTTTATAACTGTTTAAAAATCGAATATCTGAAATAGAAATGGCAAAATATTTAATGGGTTATTCTAAGTGAAACGAACAACCTCAATCTTGGTTTGATTTTTTGTTTGTTTCATATTTTTGCTTCGTTTAATGGATTTTTAATAAAATAGTAATATTGAAAAACAACATATGGAAAAAAAATCTTTACCTCGAACAGCGATAAGTTTCACTGGAACAGAGATATTTTTCACTAAAACAACGAAAGTTTTCGCTATTCTAGACATGTATATATATTTATTTCAGACAAAGATTTTTTTTTCCGTGAATCAAGATTATGTTGCCCATACGCAGAGAAAAGATTTTTCTTAGAATAAAATAAATATTATTTGAACTAAATAAAATATGTTATTTGTTTGAAATAAATTTTATTTGAATTAAATAAAATGTTATTTGTGCCAAATTAAATTTTTTTTATTAGAAACAAATATAAAATTATTAGGCTCTCTAAAACAAATATATATGTATATTTTTATTTAATTTAAATATATAAATTTTATTTGTTTCAAATAAAGGCAAATAGAAGATTTTTATGAGTGTAAATCGTATTTCTATTGGCAAGAAATTGTAATTTTTATTAAAAAACAACTGTTAATGTATCAATTTAATTGTTCATACAATATTGAAAAATTAAAAGCTTAAAAAAAATTGAAAACCAATTTATATATGCAGAGAAAAAATTACAAATGGCAAGAGTTGAGTGTACTGATTAAATTCAAATAGCAAATTATCAAATGCTTTTAGATTATAAAATTTAACATTGAATTTCGTAACAGAAGTAAACAGAACAAAAAAAAATAGGTTACTAAAGACCGACTAATATAATAAAAAAATAGATAAATGCTTCAAGTTCCATATTATTATACAGCTTGAAGCATATAAATTTTTTTTTTTTTGAAGCAGCTTATCGCGTGAAATGTAGAAATGTATATAGGAAATGATGATAGGTAAAATAGAAGAGAGGGATATTTCAACAACTGAAAGCGAGAGCCTTTTATTGAAGAGTATAAAAATAGTCGAGGGAATTAAAAATATTTTTGCACGCCTCGTCGTCCCTGTTAGGAAAGCAGGCAAGGTTGAGACACGAAGTCTTTGGTAGCATGTGTGTTGATAGATGTGCCATTTTTGGCCACGTTAACCTCTCTCGGGGAAAATGCACTTTGTCAAAAGGTATAAAAAAGAAAATCATTACATGACAGAAATTTAAATTTTTTTTGTGTCGAATTGAAAAATTATCCAATTTTCATTTAGCAGAATTTTATAAAGTAAATTTTATAATAAGCTAAATTTTATTATCAAAGTATTTTCTATATATATAACTAAATTCTGATTTAATAGAAATTCTATATTTAATATTGAACTTTTGTATAGCA